AAATGTCGTTACAGCTATGCATTTTGTACAAATTTATTCTTCCAGTTATTTTCATCCAAGCAACATGGATGGCGATACAAAAAGCTTCATCAAGTTACAGATTGAGGTGTTTTTTTTATTAGTATCCGTCTGTGGTTGAACTCAGTTCAAGGGAAAGGACAATAAAGTCATTTTACCTGTAACAACATTTTTTTTCGGTCACCCTTTATTTCCAGCATATGGCGACTACTCGTGGATTAGCGAAGTCGTTCAGAGGCTATTAAGCGAAAATTCGTTTTTCATCATAGTCTCACTGTTGTTTCTACGTGGAGTTGTCCACATAGAAAATAGGTTCTACGAATCGACGCGAGATGGCGCCTAACCGCCGATTCATCGATTCTTACCCTGGTGCCCTGAAATAAACAGTACTCTGTATTTTTCATACAGCACCCGATCTTTTCTCCTGTACAACATAAGGGAAGGATTAGAAATTTCTAGATGGAGCTGTTTAAGGAGACCCGGCAGAAGGAGACTCAAAGTACTTCTGACCAGCGGGTCCGAGGAGACATGCTAAATTTTCCTAAATCTCCACATGGCATATACATTCAGTCAGTTTCTTCCATGAAGAACAGAGTATGAAAATATGCCCGCGGGGATGTTTCCCTCTGCTGGACATAGAGGGGTGAGTTATGTAAGTACTCAATTTGAATTCTGATCCAGTAAGGGAAATGAAACTTTGAGGGTCCTTTATGTGGGATGATTGTACTCGATGGAATACAGCTTCTATCATACCACTAAGGTACCCTCCGTGGGATTATCGAATCTATATTCAATCTCATCGCCAGCTAATTAACGCTCTTTCAGACTCTGAATGAGGGAGGATATACTATAATGCCCCGACGTTGACAAATCAACATTGACACAACGATGCTCAGCAGCAACTTTTCCACGTTGAGCTGTGTTTCATTCCAACCTTTCACAACATTGTGGCAACATGTTAAGTTGAAAAATCAACCTTTGCTCAATGTTGACACAACGTTGTTGTGTCGAATGGGAAAGCATGATAAAGGGTGGAGAAAGTAAAAACCATCACCTGAACACCTTGTTAGTGACTAGTTACTATGGTACTATGGTTAGTTACTATGGTAATGAATACCATAGTAACCAAACAACTCTCCATGTATGGAGAAGACGATGAAGAGGCGAAAGGGGTCGAGACGAGCATTTGGTATATTGCACAGCACTTTACCTCTTATAAATTAGTTTATTTTACTTTTTGTTGTGCAAGGACCATTTCAGACCCGTAGACAATTTATTTACAACTACCTTTAAGGTAATTAAGAATTTGGTAGACGGGAGCTAATGCCATAAAAAATCGTCCACATACGAATGAGACGAAAGACTATAGACCGGTAGCAAATAACCTGTTTGTAATTTTCGTCGAGTTCGCGCAGATATCCGTCAGTCGAAACGAAGTCTCTATTAATCTCTCGATGACTGAGGGAACGAGTTCCTTAGCTGCAGTGCTGCCAGATCAAACACTGTAATCGCCGCAGTTGAGAGAAGCGGCTATCCAATGACTTTATTCCCTCGGTGAGGAGACTTTTTTTTCCCTCGATATAGTCGGAAAACGTGAGCCCACCCTCATGTGTAGTAAAGCTATTGTCATGGTGGTTTCCTCTCTTTCACCAGAGGCTGATAGCCATGGCTGACAGCCGTCACGCGTTAAAGACGCCTTCATTACCCACCGAGGTTAGAAGCAAACTTCCCGGCAGCGAATTTCGATCTCGAGGCCCTTTCCAAGCCGACGAGGCCATTCGATCTGCGGCAGTCGTCGATCGGATTTCGAACAAGGCCGCCCTCCATTATACGTATATTCTGGATGACACTGAAAAGTGACAAGTCGAAACGCTTGCGCCGTTTGAGTTCCCTTTCAAGGGAGATGCGCTCGAGTCTGTCGGTCTGTGTCGAGGTCTCTCCCTTCCACATCTACATATTCCCTATTCCTTTTCTTCTACATCGTCATCTCTTCACAGGGTTTAAATCCTGAAGGGCCGATTTTCAGGAATCGGTTTTTCTTTTTGTTCTGAAAGTGGAATCTCCGGTTCCATTTAAAGTACAGGATTAAATATTCGGAGTTTATTTAATTTGAATGAAAATAATGCTTTAGTTCTGATTCCTCTTTGTCCCTAACTTCTCTTTCTTCTCTTCCTACATCAAAGGAGGAGTTTGTTTGTTAGGGCACTGGCATCCTTAGTAGCTGGGGCAGCTATTAAGCGCTGAGACTTAGATTCCTAGAGGAAGAAGCTCGGACGAAGACCGCTTCACATGCTGCATCTACCACTTTCGAGCCAACAACTTCTGAATTTCAGTTTTGTTCCAATATGGCTCCTTTCTGAATGAAAACTGTTATTTCTCTGGGCCTAATGCTCGTTTTTTTTTCTCTTTTTTTTTGCCTACAAGGTATTGGAATGATCTTATTTCTTATCAATATCAAGTTTGGTATTCATGTTTTTGGAGGAGAATCGTGATCTATTTCATATTTTTGAGGTATCGTTGGAGCCCTGGTTTCAGTCGAATGAGAAAAGATTCAGGTCGAAGATGACCATTGAGAAAAGTTGGAATTACGTGCGCACCACTTGTCCTCGCATACACGGGAGACTATAAGACATTCGCGTATGTGTGGATGGTCTGTCCACTTGGAAGGTAATCATCCTCCAATCGGATGGTCGGATCCATTCTGGGGTCTTCTTCAGTCCGCTCATTTTCTCCTTCCGAAGAACAAACGTGACGAGAAAAGTTGAAGTTGAAGAAAAGTCTCTAATGGAAGCGTAGATATGAATCGGTGTTCTTTTGCGCAGGTTCTTGCTCGTATCTTCTCCACGGATCGGCGCCGTGAGCATCCTACCTTTCCCCTATCACCTGCTCGAATCCCCTCGTTATTTTCTTCAGACAGAAAGGTGGATTGCCCTGCAGAATACCCATCTCATCTCTGACGGACAAAAAAATAACTTGCGAGATCTGTTCCGGTTCTGGGGGATGACAAGGACTTCCAATTTTCCCGGAAAGATTCCTATCGCCACATCAGACATACACATCTCCGGAGGGACGAAGCCATTTATCACGTATTTATCTTCAGCCCGTCGAAATAGAATTCCCCGTGAAGCCAAGGATAGGCAGGTGTTTTCGCCACAGGTGAGATGGAAAAGTGAAAAGGGAGAAGCCTGCCACGAGCCGAACTTTTCTGGGCGAAGGAAATACTTTTTACAGGATCTCCTCACGACGAAAACAGGTGACATTAGGTGTAAGGTGACAGGAAGATGCATAAGCGTAACGTTAGCGGAGATGGAAAAAGTGTGTGTGTGTGGGGGGGGGGGGGATGCCCCTCTGCCCCCTCCCCCTCCCCCTCGACGCAATACGGCTGCGAAGACGCACAACGACGCGCTAGTTTCCGTACGCTCGCAAACTTCAACTCGACTCACCTAAGCGCACTTGCGCGCTAGCATTTTTCGTGTAGACGAACACGAAGAACCCCCATGTCGCCTGTAACACAGTCTATTAAAACTGAAACCATCTCCCCAGAGATTATACGATTAGTGACGCACAATGGTATCCGTTCGGATTCGTTTGTTTAATGATATCGAAGGAAACGTGTCGAGTGGTCGGTTTTCTTTCACGATTTCTCTTCTCGGACAATCATTTGACGATCGTCTTATTTAATTAGTCAGGGTGATGGAATTTCTAAAAAGGCTGGCGTTTGTATAAATGTACATTTTGGAAGTCCGTACTTGGTTCCCTGAAAATAAGAGGATTTCTTTTCTCAGTCCGGTAGAGGCGCCAGTTCATAGACGGACGCTTAATTCTGAACGAACTTTTTATGTCCTAAGAAACAAAAAAAAACCTAACCCGGAATTGGATGTCCTCGACTGCTCGATGCTGTTTAATAGCTATGAGGAAAATACCGAGCAAAGATATTACAGCTTAGGTCAACTCCTCTCAACCAGTGGCGTAGAGAGAGGGGGGGGGGGGGGGGGGGGGGGGGGGGGGGGGGGCGGGGGGAGACTTCAGCCCCCCCAAGTTTGGTTCAAGCCCCCCCAACTCTGGTCGAAATGCGTCCGCCCCACCCCGACGAGGCGAAGTTAGCCCCCCCATTGACGAAAACCTGACTTCGCCACTGCTCTCAACCCCTCTCTCTACGCCTTATACATCATAAAATAGGCGATATCTTCCGTCTTGGACTCTTGGCGAACACCATACAGGTATTGAAGATGTTGGGCGATAAAAAAATAATACTAATAAAAATAAAATAAAAAAGCATTGCTTTCTACGAACATTACTTGAAAATGACTTCAAACATGGTTTCACTTTCTAATAATTTTTACTTCGACCCATTTTCGCGATGGAACGCCGGCAATGAAATTACTGCTTTCATGAAAAGTCGAAAAACAATTCCTAAAGGCGCGAAGATGAAGGAAGGAGAAGTAATTGCTATACCACCGATAGCCTTAATGGATGACATGGAGAGAAAACTACGAAGAGCAGAATGATGGCATGACAGTGTCATGATACTCTTCTGAGAGAGCTGAGAACCGAGAAGGGCAGTATCGCGCTAGTTCAGATCAAACTCAAAGCCTCATTACTTCACATCCTGCCTTTTCGTTCTCGTCTTGCCCCAGACGAAGCAATATAAGACGGTATATCTTTTTTTTGGGTCATGCCACATACATGGAACGTCTTCGGAAAGAGCGCCGTCTCTTTCAGCTTTTCAAGAATTCCACCTTGCGTGATTCTCGCTTGGATGAAACAAAATTCTCTCATTTACGTGTTTCATGGACGAGTCGTATGATTCATTGAAGACCGAAGAAGTGCATTCAAATCTGAAGCTTTACTCAAGAATCGACTGGAGGTGTGAAAAGGGGAGCTAGTGAAGGAAGTAGAAGCAAGCATAACTCAGCGGGGCAGTTCCGCAGCCTCTGGCTGCAGAGGGCGACCTCGTCTCCGGAGCAACTTCTTCCATTCGTGTTTTCCATCCTCTCCCATCGGGGATCAGAATGTTTTGACAGTATCGACGGAACAGATTTGATTTGTGTGCGTGGGAATGCGTGCTTCTATGCGTCTCCTGTTTTCTTTTTTTATTTCCCCCCTTTCCAATCGGTTCCTTGATGCTTATCTCTTCGACAACCTGTTACTTTTCGTTTTACGAGCCCATTCTTGCTCGGTCGGTTCGTGCGCGACCTGCGTCTCCTCTTCCCTTCTGCCCTCTCTGGGACGTCCGCGTGTGAAGCCGTCTCTCTTCCTCTAACGCGATGTCGGAATTGAAGGACCTTCAGGTGAGTCCCCGAGCGAGTACCGACGGTCTCGTCACTTTTTCCCTATTCAAGTCCCACGACCCAGGTGCTATATCATTCTACGACTGATTTCTGGTTTCTGCAAGGACTGCTAGATATTCATTAATTCCTCTTTCTAGTTCATCTTCGATAAATTGTTTGGTGTTTCGGGTTCACTCTGATCTTTTTCAAAGCTGCAAGATAAAAAATAAATAAAACCCATTTTGGACATTTTATATTCTAAGCGATAGACCTTTAGGTGCTATTCATGATTTATTGAGGCTAGAGTTATCTGACATCTTCTTTCATGCATATTATGCGATCGATTCTTCTCGACTCCAAATTTGTTTTTGGCGATGACATGGGAGGCAGGTGTCGTGTTGTCTTTGGCAGTACTTGAGTGGTTTCGGGTCGGAGTTTGAGAGCGAGGACCCTCGGTGCCCGGGAGCCCTTCCCCAGAATCAGAACACTCCTCAGAAGTGTCCCTACGGACTTTATGCCGAGCAACTCTCTGGTTTGTTTTTCTCCCTCTCGTCGTAGTGCATCAACCCTGCCTTAATATTTCCGATAGTCCCCTAAATTCTCCTTAACTCTAAAACGTGCGTGGGACAAGGTGTCCCCCCCCCTACCCCCTACCCCCCCCCGTTGACAACGGTCGAATTCAACGGATTCTGAGATCCTTCGTCTTACATATCCTGCCATACGACCATCATCTGATTCGGAATGACTCAAAATGTTAATCATTGCCTTTTCCCCCTGTGATTCCCCATATACTCGTGGTAGAAAAGAGACATTGTGAAAGATTATAGATTTTAACAGGAACTTCTATGCGGACAAGAAGCTGCATTGTGAGTCTTCAACCTCCACTCCTCATAGACGTCGAAGCTAAAATCTAAGGTCTTTCGTGATATCCCTATTTATGTACAGGGTGTCCGGGAAATAATGGCGAAAAGATGATTATCTTTTCGTCTCTTAGCTTTTCCTCATGACTTTATCATTACTCACAATAGAGGAAAGCTGTAGATTCAAGTACAGTATATGCTGTGTCGCTTGTCGTAGTATGTCTACTTAAGCAGATGTATTGTGACAGGGACGGCATTCACGGCGGAGAGAGAGGAGAACCGGCGAACCTGGTTTTATCGCATTCGTCCCTCCGTATGCCATCGACCTTATACACCCATTCCCTCGGGGAACTTCATTCCCGAATGGGACAAGATCAAGTCCACTCCAAATCAGGTCTCTTGGCATGCTTGTAATTTCATAGAATAGAGAATGTAACTAGAGGCGACACTCCGAGGGGTAAGGGGGGGGGGGGTCGAAATATTACAGAAACATCTGGTGGCTTGTTATCTACAACACTTCCATGAGGCGTGTTTCGTGGCAGCGGAATCGGGAATCGACTAATTCGGGGATTCGACCCAAAGGGATTCCTCAACGTAACACGCGTGTCTCGTTGAGTCCGCTGCTCGGCCATCGAGGAGTTGTTGATTTGCGCACGCTAGGTGTAGGATCGACAGTGACATCTATATTGCGACCCTACAGTATCAATGAATGCGATTCGAGCGGAGTGTCGCCTCTAGTTATGCTTCTATGGTAATTTACTGAATATGGAGGGAATGAATATTGGCTTCGGGTCAATGTGTTCGAATTTGTTTCGAGTGGATGTTTTATGTATTTTCCCCCGTTTTGGATCGGATGACAGTTGCGCTGGCGCCCGTTCGACATCCCGTCGGTTGCGACAGATTTCGTGGACGGGCTGAACACGGTGTGTGGGGCTGGTGATCCTCGGACCCGGCATGGATGCGCCGTTCATGTCTACGCCTGCAACGCTTCCATGACGGACAAGGCCTTCTACAACTCCGACGGCGACCTCCTCATCGGTATCGGCTTCCAGTAGCTCTTTCTCCTTGTCATCCGTTCGTGGCGGGTGTCAACAAAGGGTCGATGTGGCCCCGCGCTCTTGAAACTGTCTTTTGTGCAAGCTCGGAGATCGTTCCAAGGCCAAATTTCATTAAAATCTACCCGACTCAAAATTCTGCAGCTCATGTAGCAGTCGAGGGGTTCGAAAACGAACCCCCTCGACCCCAACCCAAACGAATCCAAATTCATAGTATGAAAATATACATGAAAGTATGTCGAGCGAGCATTGAAAGCCAAAAGCACAGTAACCAAACAAGAAGACAATGGTTACAAGGAAGTGATAACGAAAAGAGACTTTGGGGACCGAAAGCTCTGCAGGATCCTCATCAGAGGCACGGTCCTGCTAAGACCTCCAGTGCATATAGATCTTTTCGGAATTCGCGTGGAGATTTAGAAGTGGAAAGAGTATGGCTGAAAGGGGGTAGGGGGGGGGGGGGGGGGGGGGGCAGCCAACCTCGATTGCGATTCATCAGGCATATTTCTACACGTGCTCTAGATTAAAAAAAAAGTTATGGTGAAAGACAAACCTGAGGTGCCCCTCAAAATTGCAGCATTCTCCGAGCAAACGCCAAAGAAATCCAGTCGAGTTTTAATATCGATCAAGACATTGTTATCGACTCTTCATTGACACCGTCGCTCGGAACTTTTCGGGCTTTTGTACAATTACTCTGACAGTTTTTCTAAATCTCTTTCTGAGCGGTTTGAAGGAAGAAAAGTACTATTTAGGGTGTTGGAGGCAGTAGATATGCGGCTTTCCTTCTAACATCCCATTGCCAGTGTTGTATTCTCGCTGGGCCGGAGGATAGGATCACTCTTAATCGCAATGATCCTTTTTTTTAATGCAGTCCCTCAGCTGGGAGTCCTGAACGTGACGACGGAATACGGAAAATTGATCGTGAAGCCGAATGAGATCTGCGTCATCCAGGTTCCGATCCTCATATGCAACATATTTGATCTTTTTTTATATTCCACTTCCGAAGAGTTGTTTCGTGTGATTCGCAGCAAGGGATGAAATTCAGCGTGGAGGTGACAGGGGAGAGCCGTGGTTACATCCTGGAGGTATTCGACGGCCACTTCGTTCTCCCCAATCTCGGCCCCATCGGTAACTCAAGCGAGAATCAACAATTCAATTTACTCAAAAAAATAAAAATAAAATATAAATATAAAGGTGAGCGATTTGCCGAGGGAGCAAATATCGCTAACTCCAGTTTGATTCAATCAGAGCATAATCACTCACTTTTTTTTAGGGTGTAGACCTATTTGAATATAGAGAAATTTACATGTAGTTCATCGTGAATCAAAGGATGTAAACAAAATTCAAAACAGATACGTGATGTAAATAAGCAAAAAATATAAGTGAGAACAAAGTGAGACGAAAGAAAATCAGACTTAAAATCCAAATGAGAATAGTGATTGTATTTGATACGATCACGACCGACTTCGTGAAGGCCCAACTCGATGTCGACACCCAATTTGACAAGAACACCATCAGCTGGCTGGTAGTTGCCATCCAACATGCGGATGGAGGTAACAAATTGCAATTGAGTAGAATTGAGCATCAACATTCTAATTTAAAGTTGAGACGAGTGGAATGAAATGATGGATTCGGGGATAAAAGACTGGACGGACTCACGATCCTGTTTGCAGGAGCGAACGGTCTGGCGCTGCCGAGACACTTTCTCACCCCGAAGGCCTGGTTCGAGGACCGACAGGTCCCGGCGGGTTACAGGATTGTCTGCAAGTTCCAAGGTCATATGTTCCAGGCCATTCAGGAACATTCCCCCTTCGACGTCCCCGCCTGGCATGGCAACTACGTCCCTTACAAGTATGACCTCTCCAAATTCATGGTGATCAACTCTGTCTCCTTCGACCACTGCGTGAGTTCCATGCCCTTCAGAATATTCTCTGCAGGACATTCTTCTTTACCCTTAAAAGAAAAACTAAATTGTGCGCCTCGAGGAGTCCACACTTTCGCGCTACATTCACAGATTCATGACTTTGATACCCTTTGGTCTTAAGCCCAAACTGTTTCTTGAATTTGATTTGAAATAGAACGTTGTCTTACCTTAATGTTTTTTTTCTTTAGTAAACGAGAAGACGCTTTACCTCTTATGGATAAACGGAACTGAAGAAACGAAAACAGAAATATAGGTTAACGAAAAAGGAAAACACATGTTGCGTGGGTAGCAACGCAACATATGAAACGAAATTAATATGGTTTCCCAATTCCGCTTAAAATTCAGATTTCTTCGAAAATGAGCTCATATCGATAGCATTTCTGTCTTCTTGCTTCCATCTATCTGCAGAAGAGAACAGGAAAAGTATGGACATCCTCCAATTTATACTTTCTGTCGCTACCTATCTTTGTTTTCTTCATCTTGAGGAGTGTTGGATTCCTGTTTTCCATTACTACTGCATATACCTTGAACTGTCAATTTTCTTGCGGCCGATTCAAATTTCTTTACCACTTGCCTTCTGCATCGTTGTCTTACCTACATCACGTCCGGGTTCACTGCATTTCTCGGTTTCACTATTGAAACGCAAACAGAGCGAATTATAGACCCTTTTGGGACTCTTTGTAGGACCCAAGCATCTTCACGGTGCTGACGTGTCCGTCGACGAAGCCGGGAATGGCCATCGCGGATTTCGTCATCTTTCCTCCCCGGTGGTCCGTCCAGGAACACACATTCCGACCTCCATACTATCACAGTCAGTCCATCTCTCTTCCCTTGTCGCTCGCTGTTTATCGCGCATTTTTCACTATCCACCGTTCGTAAAAGCTCGAAATAGGAAGAGCAGTCGAGTTTTCTTCGGCGACTTCAATGAGGAGAAAGAAACCGTGATCGTCCTTTCGCTTTCACATCTTCGTTGACTTCGATTAAGAAATTTCCAAAATAGGCCACGAGGTTTCAATATCGTTCGGTTTCTCGGATCATCCTCGAGCGGTACTTTTCAGCACTAAACACGTTTAAAATGGAACTCATCGAATTGCAGAAGCGTTGGAAATAAGGGACGGTTGGGAATAATCACGTGATAGTGTCAAACTATGACCTCCACTGAAGTTTTCTCTGCGCGGATAATTTTTAACTATTTGGAGCATTTCTTATTGAAGTACGAGTAATGTTTATTTTTGTAGCATGCAGAATATTTTTTTAACACCTCCTTTTACTCTTAAGGGCTCTGAGCTTAGGCAAGCTCTGAATTGATCATGGATAACGTATGAATCGCATTGGAGCCCGGTTTCATGGACTTCAAATTTTAACCTTTCGGATTTGCTTATTTTATTACGGAGGATTGAAATCTATTTGATTGACTAGATACAAAAGGTCAAGACCACAGGCGTTGCTTCTGTGACTTGTCGCTATCTACCTGACTATTTATCTATCAAAATTTCACCATACAAGTTTTCTGTCACCGATTATGGATAACGAGAGGTTTCTGGCTCCCAAATTTCGAAGGCATTAAAAGTACTGGTTATAAAGCACTCATAGCAGAAAATGATCCACCACAAATCTACCCTTCGCTTACTGAATGACAAAATCATTGACTCTCACCCTCGAAGGGGCTGCGAGGTGGCAAATAGTAGTCTTATTGTCAAAAATGCTACTTTTGGATATTTCCGAGTCGTCTCATTGCTGTTTCATGAAGTACCACCATTATATTTATTACTTGACCCTTTCACAGCTGAGTTTTAATGGTGCGGTTGCCCCCCCGCGGTTCTTTTTAACCTACCCTGCAAAGCAACTACGACTTTTAGGAATAGAGTAGAGAAGTAATTAAAAGTGTGGCATTATAGGGACCCGCTCTGGGAAAGTAAAGTTTGAAAATGAGTATATTCGGGCGTTGGGTTTGGGTTAAAACTCCTGGCCAAAACTCTTCTTTCACCGACTTACAACTTGGCACTAGGTTGTGCTCAGCTGCTACCACAAAATTTCGTATTCTCCCTACAAGTACATTATAGACCTAAAAAAAAGTAGAGATTCTTTGATAGCATGGCAAGTGCAATGAGTAAAGCATTAGAAAGCGATATATGGCTGGACAAATGTGGAAGGTTTTTTATGAGCATAGTTAACAAGATGAACATTATCATTAGTTATTATGATTAAATATATTTTTTTTTACAAGATCCCGAAAATTTTCTGAAAAGAACTAGTCGGAAAGTACGCGTTCTAAGAAAGGTAAATATATACTTGAACATGAGTTAATGCAAATTATACATTTTCACATCAGATAATAATGACCCGAGGCATACCATTGTTCTTTTTGGAAAGTGTTTTGCTTTTCCCAAAACGGGTAATTTCTTCAAGTGAGTGAATTAGGCCAAAAAGGAGCAATTCCAAGGAGACAAAAATGGAAAATTCTACAGTAAAACTTTTCATTTCTGTCAATCTGTATTTGTCTCTGATGTTCTCCTGCATCTAAGTCTAGCGCGGTTGAGCTCCAGGATCCTTCATATAATATATATTGCTGTTTGAAGTAATCAACTGCACCGAAAATGTCCCACCTGTAACAAGAAGCTTTAAGTCCTCCTGGCACATGTAGAATTTACTCAGCTTAATGCTACTTGTGGAGTGGGTTTCCTGTCTCATGTACACATTAAACATGAGTAAAAATGAATTTTACATTATGGTTTTCAAATACTGGCTTAGAAGTGTTACGGGTGGGACAAATCTTTTGATCAAACCTACTTCCAATCCTCATGCAGATTCAGATATGAATCAATGGTCATTATTAAGGCTATTTTTCTTGACAGGGGCACACATTCTTTAAAATGAAATTAGTCAGATAAATGGAATTTGGCAGGACAATTTTACAGTGATGCATAAGTGTCCCGACAGCTAACAAATTTTGTTACGGGTGGAACACCTTATTTTCATTATTGTGGTTTGTAAGTTTTACTTTTTAAATTTTTACTTAAATTTTTTTATTATTTGAATTTCTAAAAATTACGATGTTACTAAAAAACATTATAGACTTCTGACAAAAATTAATATATATAGGGTGTTACAAAAGTCAGGAATCATAGGGAAATAACATGGGGATAATTTCCAGCCTAGATTGTCTGAAACCTACAAGCTAATCTGAGTTGATTCTGAAACTCCTGAGTTCCCTTAATCTCAAAGTCTGGTCCAAGTGGCCCAAAATGATAGTAGGTGATCCATGGTGACCCAAGGTGGCCTAAATTGTCCAATTGACTGAATATGGGCCTAATTATCTGGGAGTGATACATACTTTTGCAAAAATAGAAGCAGTGACACATTTGACCCACAGTTGCACAAAGCGACCCATTTTGATCCATTTCAACCCACGGCGAGCTAATTCGACCCATGGTGACCCATTTCGACCCAAACTGTTCGATCGACCCAACTTGGGCCTAATTATTCTAGGGTGATTGAAGAATGCTAAAACTGAGATAGATTGACTAAATTTGATCCAGAGCGACTGCAGGTGACCCATGGTGACCCAAATTTGCTCAAATTGTCCAATTGATCCAACTTGGGCCTCATTTTCCTAAGGAGATGTAAGTTTACTAAAATTTAGAAAGACCATAGGTCACCTTGAATCTCTATTGGTCAACCTTGGCTACTATTAAATAGTGAGATTCAGGGAAGGTCACAATGGGTCGAAAGGGTCACCGTGGGTCGAAATTGCTTCCATTGTTGTTATATTGTTAGTATGTACGCAAGTAACCACCCCAAGGGATGAAACTCAAGATTTCAAGTCATTCTGCATCCACATGATACTTTTGTCCCACCCGTAACGAAAGTTACTGGTGGGACAAACATTGCAGATGTTTAAAACTTGATTAATTTTTAAATATTGCATTATCATATACATGTTGCATATCAACACAAAGCTCTTTTTAAGAACTTGCATTGGATTCCTTACTGAAGGTTGTTTAATACTTAGATAAAGAGTTGCAAATTTTGTAGTATGCATAATTTTGGCTATTTTGTCAAAAATGTTGTCTTGTCTGAAACGGTTTAACTTAGGATGCTACAATTTTGGATTTTTACTATCATCCACAATGCCAAACAGCATACATTTTCAAAATAGAATTAATGACTGCTTAATTGTGTTTTTAAAGTGTTAAAAAAAACGTTAGGGGTGGGACATTGTTACGGGTGAGACAATTTTGATTTGAAATGTCGCCTCTCATATGTATGACCATGTAAAAATTTATCACTGTCTCCTATCATGGCACAGCAATGCGCATCAGCATGGGCAGTTGTAGTCCGTACCTAACAGGGTAAGCATGCAAGACATGTGTTACGGGTGGGACAATTATGCTTGACATTTGTGGGTAAAAGCAAAAAACAATTTATCTTCAAAATGATTTCAGAACTATGATGATTCCAATTATGTGTAATTCCTGTAGGTATGATGACGTCTTCAGGTGAAAAGTATTAGCTCACCATTTCAATTCCGGATAAATACTGTGATGGCAATACCCACCCTGTCTTTTTTCACGGTTAAGACTCCTGTGGATATTAGGAACCGTTTCGATCTCTCTGTGACGGAGATTATCGTCAAGTTCTCGTAAGACTTTTACTATAATATGTTTGGAATGTTGTGCCATTTGTTTGCAAAAAAATCAAAGAACAAGTATTTGTTTGGCAGCGGAATGTTCTGAATGTATTAAGGCAAAGATGTGTTATAGGTGGGACAAATTCAATTTTCTCTGTTAGGTGTGTCCCAGAAAAAAGCTTCAAACAATGCCAAAATATATTGAAAGAATTGTTCTGACATGACTTATTGATGTTTCAAATTTCATCAAGATGGATTCATTACTGCCAGAGTAATGTTTCTCTGTTAGGCGTGTCCCAGAAAAAAGCTTCAAACAATGCCAAAATATATTGAAAGAATTGTTCTGACATGACTTATTGATGTTTCAAATTTCATCAAGATGGATTCATTACTGCCAGAGTAATGTAACTTTAAAGTCTGAAGACAGGCAGTTGCTCCAGTTTGGCCTGATTCACCCAAGTGTGAAAAAGGTTATTTTTCCTAACGACACGCGCACACCGATTATTTTTAAAACTAAGCGAAATGTGAGGAGAACGTGGCCTTGGGGCATTTTTACCTTTTGCACCACCCTGTCTGTAGGTTGCTTTTTTTTCTGCCGAACTGACCTAAACACTCCTTTTTCTACCTTAGAATTGTAGAGCACTGATATATCACAAAAAGAGCAAATTTTGACGAGTAGAGTCAAACAACCCCCGTATGGGCACACGTCCCTTATTGAACATGAATAGAAAGCTGCAGAAAAAAAGGAAAAATGAATGGAATAGAGTCCTGAAATGAGTTCCAGAGGTCATGTGACACGATGTTCTTTAACCTTGGACTACAGGGAACTGCATGAGTGAGTTCATGGGGTTGATCCAAGGATCGTACGAGGCAAAGGAAGAAGGATTCCTGCCCGGAGGAGCGAGTCTTCACTCGATCATGACCCCGCATGGACCGGATGCCAAATGCTTCAACACCGCCTCCAACGCCAAACTCATTCCCGAACGCATCGCCGAGGGTACTCAGGTATTGGAAAAATCGCGTCCGGCAAGCCCAAACCGAGAGCGTCCTTTCCGCATGGACCGGATGCCAAATGCTTCAACACCGCCTCCAACGCCAAACTCATTCCCGAGCGCATCGCCGAGGGTACTCAGGTATTGGAAAAATCGCGTCCGGCAAGCCCAAACCGAGAGCGTCCTTCCTTGACGATTCGAGACGTTGCCTACGCCGAATGCTATAGTAACGATGGAGGGTTCTCTCCAGACTTATGAAACAGGTTTGCTGGGTACATGATGGGGGGCTGGATGCTGGTGAGCTTGTTGTTATGTGGTGCCTGGTGCTGCCATAACAGCCTAGGTTCCGCCCGCTCCTTCATGCACTGTACATCCCTGCTTTCGGAACAGAGCCTTCCATTTAATTTATTTTGCTTTTTTTGGGACAAAGAAAAACGAGATATCAACACTAGAATTACCGGAACGGTCAATTTGACTGCTATATTAAAAGTAGTATAAAACTATTATTCTGTAACATTTTATTTAGTATGTATTCAAAGAGTCGACGTTAGAGAGGAAAAGTAAAAACTGCGAAGGCACTTGTCAAACGAGCAAAGTGCGTTAAAAATCTACGAGCAATCAAAATAACTACTCCGGCAGTTCTTGAGTTAAGGACTGCCGCACTTACCCATCATAGGCTAACACATCTGCAAGATTCTGGAGAAAGAAGATAAGCTCCTCAGCCCATTGTTGACGTTCCCTCTCCAGCACAGATCTTATTTTGTAGTCCGTTCATTGTAAAATTCCTTGGTGAGGTTCTTGGGACTTCTGGTTCTTGGTTCTTGGCACAAGAGTGAGCGAACAGGGCTCTTAAAATTAATTTATTGGAAAGAAACCATGAAATGAATGGGACAATCTACCCCGGGCCTCGCGTATCATGGGGTCCCAAGGGACCCTCCAGGAAGCCTCCAAGGGGCCTCTGGAAACCTGGGCGGCCCCGCCGGTGTCCGGTGTCCAAGGGAATTATCAGCAGGGTCATTCATGAGGATCTCAAAATGTAAGGATAAACGTAAGATCAAAGTCCAAATCCTCAGCCCAAAACGACATCAGAGAGAGGAATACGAATACCTGGAAATTATGCTAGCGCCACTTGACAGGTGAAAGGTACAAGTATATTATGATGCTCGATGAAACTTGGTTGTACCTTTCTGTTTTGCGGAAAGAACCGGTCTATTTACTGCCAATTTCAGGGTTTGGATTTCTGTGCGTGCCACAGAATGCAAAAGATAAGGCTCCCCTCTTTTGTCCACAGGGCATATGAGGGCATAAGGTCGCGCTGATTGGCCGATGATCCTTACCTTCTCCTCACCCCTAGGAAATTCCAACGTCAAAAAATAGCCTTTGGCATTGAGAACCTTCTTCCTTGGGACAAATGTGGCATTGCCCGCGTGAAGAAAAATTAGAAGTGAAAGGACTCAGTCTATTCATGTTACTTAGGGATGACCTAGGTTGTGATGGGCCTTCGGCCGCAAAGAAACATACCTGTTATCCCAATATGCATTACCGGGCCGCAAGAAGTAGGTCCAAGGGCCACATGCGGCCCGCGGGTTGCACATCCCTGCTCTACCTGCTTTTGTTTCTCAATCGATCTTCGGATCTTCGGATTATTGAAATATTCCGAATGGCATGAAAATACCCATTCGTGACTCTAGAAGGCGTGGAAACGACAGAAGCAGCTGCCATGTTAATGCGGGGACGTGTATCACACGACTTCAGCGCTGGAGAGGCTGGAATTTCGACTCGACAGTTCACCTGTTCCTGAGGACTTGAAATCTACTAGTGCCCTCCATCGCCATCCACACCAAAAAGAATGGGCGAAGATCTTGCTAGATCGTGTTTTTCGAAAGGATGGTACTTGACGCTAGTCACAAGTACACTTGTTCCAGAAGGATCGAGGGGTTCCGAGCCTACCACACGACAAACTATCGATTCGGACAGCCAGAATTAAACGTCCCGTATGACAACTCGATTTTGAAAGCGAAATTCTGGGATTTCGCCATAAAACGGAAAGATAATTTTTCTAGTGCTGGGAGACACCTGAAATTCCCATTTCCATGTGAATCTTCCGTGAATACCTAATGAAATCCTACCAATCCCAATTGCTATTGGCACTAGATTTTGACTTCCTTTTTTTTTCTTGGTACAGGTTGGTTGGGTTCGTATTCGATTTCAAAGTATGAAAATTAGGTGAATTCGGAACCGTCCCCTCTCATTCATACTTCCTCTTTCACTTCCAACGTTTTCTCTCAACACCGAAATGTGTACGAATTCGTGTTATTTTTCCTTTAGTCATTCATGTTCGAGACGTCTCTGGGCCTGGCCTTGACGGAATGGGGTTACCAAACCTGCCAGAAGGTAGACCCGGACTACCACAAGTGCTGGGGAGGACTGAAGAAGAACTTCCAACACGATTCCCCCGCCGCCTAAAACCCTCTCTTGTTTTTACTGCCTTGGGGTTTCTCCTTTCGGTTAGCCCTTTATTTTCCACGAAATCCACTTGTTTTTCTTTGTTTGCAGGTGAGCCGTTTCGAGCATTTTCGACATCCTTTATATTCGATTCCATCGAACGTAAATGTCGAAACGCGAGGCGGTCCTGTGTGTAGTAATAACGTTAGGATTGCTTCTTTGTGCCATTTTGCACGTCAAAACGGCAAGAGTTGAATAAAGCTACGGGAGAATGATCACCAAAAATGATCGTATATGGATGGATCCATGACATCAATGATGAGCGGGAGTAGGAGAGGATAGTTACCAGGGGCCAAGGGCCTCCTTTCCCCTCTGCGTACGTCATTTGCATGAAATCGATGAACAGGCTTTCTTATATTGGCAGATCGTGCATGAGCGCAAAAAGTTCGATCCCAACAATCGTGCCAATTCATCTGTTTTCTCTCGTCCCTTTCCCATTGCCGAACACCAGGATGGGGTTTATCGCCTAAGACTGAGTCGGCTAGGTTCGAAAAGGCCGTAGTATTGTAGGGAGGAGGAGTAAAGGTTGGACCCCATACGTTCTGTCATACCGTCCACGTTTGAGTACAGCTGATGACGTCCCAGTGACATGAATCAAATTCGGATGCAAAAAGTCACCTAAATGCATGGTACTGCGCATGGAGACAATTTTTTTTTTAGGAAACACTTTTTATAAGCAAAAGTTCTTTTTGTACGCACGATTTTTTTTAATTCTGCATATAATATTTTCACAAGATATCAAATTAAAAACTTCCATAGGGCCATTCTGTGAACCTAAATGCACATAATCACTGAAAATTAAGCCGTACAATTCCTGAAGCAACTCCGATGCGGGAAGCTTTGACTTAGCTGGGGGAAGGTCGGACCAAAGAAGACTGGACACTACGCGAAAGCAGGGTAACCGAAGTGGCCGTCTATGCCCTGGTGTTTGGCCCTCGAACTAATGCTGACGTTTCCTGAAGCAGAGCGCTAGTGGCTCTTGAACGAATTCGCCCCCGAAGTCTGACTCCATTTCTATTGCGCGTGACTGACATGGCTACCATGGAGAGGAATTGGGAAAACAATGTTCGGAGGATCTCCCCATGGGGGAGCTACTTTTCTTGAATTCAGACAGAATTGCAAGACAATGCATGCTGCGTAGGTTACCTATGCAGCAAGGAATGTTTGTTTTCGTTAATTTACGAACTGTAAAAAAAATTATTTTCATAAACTGGAGATCGCTGAATCACAATGGCAATCTCATCTATTGCCGAAAACATTTTGGCTTAGCTGCCAGCAACAATGTGTGCGAGTAGAAGCCAGTTGTAACCCAACTGGACCCCAAGAACATCAGGCTGTAAATCCAAAGCAAAGCTGCAAGATCCACAGTCTGTTTTTGTCCCTTCAAAATTGAAGTCATCCCATTCTAACAGGCCTGTCAATCCGAGACGCGAAAATGTTGACCTCGTTATTGAGGTTACTCAGCATTTTGCTTCATCCGCCTGTTACATATATGTGAAGCCCTAGGAGAACACATGCGCGTGCCTTTCCGGATCCTTGGGAAACCGATGCAGCAGAACATCTCCATCCATTTGGCCAATTTTCTCCTGGCATGGTGCGCAGGCGCAGTATTTAGGTCCAGAAGCAGGCATATTTCATGCGACATTTCAATCCAATGACCCCATTGGTCAGTTCTGCATGGTTCCAGGGCCAACAACCAGAACAGAAGGTTTCCCCGACATCAGAGGCGCCGCCACAGAGTGCCCAGTCTTCTTAGTATAAGGTCTTTGGGTTGGACCCTCCTAAAGGCACTTGAGTTTGTTTTCATATTCCCTTGTATAACTAGGTTACAGCCTATGGCCTGAATGCTGAAACTTCCTTTAGTTAACGGTCCATTAAGAATACATGGATTCCTAGGGGGGAAAAAAGAGCTATTTAGCTTAAAGGCTCCTCTATCTCCCCTAAATGAGGTTTGTGCATTCGGGCCTATTTATTTCAGAGCTGTTAGGCTTCAAGGAAGACTATGAGGTCCTCTGCGATGTCCACTCTTTCCGTGATGGAGGAAGCTGTCGATGAAGTAATGTTAGGTTCTAGCTTGAAAACCTTTGCCAGAGCCAGGACATTTTTTTTCATCATGGCACGAATATACGTGTACGTTCAATGTGCCACAAACAGGAGTAATTCCGATTAACATAAAACGCACACCCTCTACGAGGAATCTCCGGGCACCCGCCCGAGATCCCGCCCAAGGGATCCCCACGGGGAGAGGTTGGACACTTGGAAGAAAAATTACGTTTGATCTGGTAAAGGCAATACATGCAATACAATCTGGTGCTGTAGCTTTCACCCATAGCACTCACCTTCGCCCCAAGAACCACTATTTCATTTAAATTACTTTGAACTTTTTTTAAAGACTTATTTTTAAAAGTAGGGTCCAACGATCACTCGTCTTCCTACTAGTGAAAATAAGTCATGAGAAGACAAGAAATCGGGGGAAAATTAAGCACACGGTGGGGTTACATCAGCCGAGTTCGTACTCTTGTACTGCAAAATCCTATTCATACAAAGTGTTCGCAATTTAATTTACCAAAAGCTAGAAATTAAATTATTTAGAAAATAATTTCTAATCTTCAAAACGGTAAAAATCACAAAATTTTCTTTGTATTTTGCTCTAGACTTGGACATGAACACAACTGACATTGCGAAGTCAATAGATAACTTACTCTGCTGTGATACAGCAGTTACTTAACCCTTCAAGCTGGTAATTTTCCTGCAAGCAACCCACCCTGCAGCGGTAGTTTTCTTGCTGTAAAACAAATGAGAGTCGAGAGCGCGCTCATCTTTCGTATTTCTGAAAGCGGGGTCAAAATATCACAGGAAAGGATCGTCTCTTCTCGCGGGAAAAAAAAAAACCTTTTTTTTTTAAATATAAATATACATTGAAAGACAGATGAAAGTCTAGCTTCAATTAACCCAATCGGTTCACACGGGTGACCAATTTCCCGACCTTCCCCCTCTTCCCGAGAACTGTCAGAAATGAGTTCAAAATCGCCTCTACAAGAGTGGGATTTCAAGGCCAATTTGAAGGGTGAAGCATTCACGTTCACGTCTTCACATCGCAAGGCCTGACCAAGCTTCTGGTTCCTGACATCAATCTACTTGCTCTCTGCCGACATATTGCATGACCGTGATTCAACCATCGAATCGTTTACTTTTTTTCGCAAAGCGACGTGGAAATGTTGCGGTCTCCAGAGAAACTTGCGTTCAATTCTTTTCTTTCGAGTAGTTTCCTCTGTCCTACTTAGGCGTTTCGGAGGTTCCAAATAATTCATGCGAATGGTAACTAGTGCTTTTTGAAATATGTATGTCTAAAATGTTTCAATGTCAATAAAGATGCAATCAAAATGAAACTCTCGCTGGACTTCCCAAAGGCAGAAACATATATTCAACGGCCAAAAAAAAAATAATGCTGACTTGTACATAAGAAGAGACTCCCAGAATGACATGATGTCCAAATAAAGGTGGAAGCATGTCGAGCAGGAGGTTGAAGCAAGAATTGCACGGATGCATTGGTCAAGGCGCAATAGGTAAGATTCACTTACTGAGGGGAAACTTCTTTCCCCTTTCGTACGACAGCAATCGCCAGAGAGCGACACGATCCCCTTCCCCCTCCCGGGTGCTCGATGTGATTATAGCTGCACAATCCCTATAGTCAACATTTTCATTGACGTTTCCCCGACAGCACCTCAATAAATCTCTCGTTTCTTTAGGCTGGACACTCACCAATGGTGTTCCCTAGGCGATCTCTGAGGTTCGGGGAACGCGTACACGCGACGATGATCGTTACTAACACGCAGGTCCTTCTTTGATTCCCACTATCCCAATTCGCACATCGGGAAAATACGAAAGGAAATGGACGTGACCGACATACCGAAGGGGCACAGAAAGCGTGAGACGAGGACGGTCAGGATGATATCACAATTCCTACCTGTCCACTATCACTCGACCGCAGAGTAGAGATTACTGCAAAAGTATTTCCTTCTCTGCGAGAACTTCACGCAAGGGAATGAGAGAACAATGAAAAATCAAAAGGTGTATCCACTGAATATGCTTAGCCTCCATTCGGCAGAAAATGAATTATTAGAACATAAAGTGAATTATTTCACACGAGCTTAACCAGTGTCCCAGGGCATTATCCATTTTGACGCGTTACTCTACATGCTTCCATTGTTATTTGGTTATATCATTTTGGGTGACTCCACCTTTTTCAGAACCAAAGGACATCGAATAGCGATCACAGATGCATTTGTCACAGGTAAAACGTTTTCCCTCAAAAACGACATGAGACGACATCATCGTTCACTTCCAGTTGGATCTTTCAGACTTAAAACCCCCAAAAATATTTACTTATACTGAAGAAGAAACATCATCATGTGGTCAACATTGGAGTCATCCCGGTAGTTCAACTGCCCCCAGTAGGCTTGGATAGCGAAGGGTATTATTTACAGGAAGCACTGGCTCCGTAGACTCCCCCCCCCTCCCAAGGATTTTCCACTTTCTGAACGTAGAAGGAAAATCCTAGACGCACGTATGACAAGTTCTCAAGGGTGAGGTTTTCAATGACTTGTTTGTGAATACAGTATATGACAGTATTGGTGGAGAGGGAAGGAGAGTCATTTTAGCCTTCAGAGGCAGAGGCATTACAACAACCACTTGAGAAACTCAATCTCCAAGTGATGAACATGGAAAACTACAATGTTCTGTAACCTGACAGAATCAAGGTAAAAAATGGAATAATAATGACTGTGTATACACCGATTTGTGTTCAGTCATCCTGGTCGGCTAACAATGGCCTTGTTTCACCTGCGATCTCATGCCGAATTGGTTCCACCCTGCAAAAAAAAAAAAAAACAACCCTGAAATACTGTATATACTTGTTGCGCAGTCAAAGGCCAGTTTTTCAAGATCCTCTAACTTGTACCTTTTTTCAGGTATAGAAAGTCTAAAAACAAAAGTCAACTTCTCATGCAAAATTACTTTTTTAATGCTGTAAATCAACCGGAATTGGAAATTTGTCTTGAGTAGAAAAAAATTAGACAAATTACGTTTACTTTTCTGAAAGCAGAATGAAAACCAATTAATCCTGAAGCGAGGTATTCAAAGTCAAATAGGATGATATGAAAATTCAGTGACACAAGCTCGCCACGGCTTTCAACCTGGTCGAGGGATCCGGCAATGCAAGCAATCGAATACACAACAGGCAGTGAAACGTTCCTTGAGTTGTGTTTAAATAGAAACATCCTGTGCATCCTACATGGTTGATGCTTCACCGTATTGCACTCCCACCTGACGGGAATCCCTTGAACTATTACTAACTCCAAGTTCAGCGGTATTTTCTTACTTCATCTGGTTCATTATTCAAACCATATTTTGTAAAAATCAGCTCCTTTCCAAAATAAATTAGCACAGAGGGTATGGTGACTATGTCAAAACGTAGCATCTCATCATAGCAGCTCATCGTACCCATTGTCGTTTGTTTATTTCACCCCAAACAGGAAGATGAACATAAAGACATTAGGCATTGGGGCAGCTGAAATTTTGTGCCAATTTGCGCACATTTAATTAGCACTGTGGCTGGTTTTGGATTAGCACATGTTCCCCTGTGCAATATAATGTCTTCGTGCAACCAAGCTTACCTCCACGAAAACTTTCGATTATATTATTAAGGCCTATATAATTTTTTTGTAATATCCATATCATGCAACAAAGAAAGATGCAAGCTGGTCCGCCGATCTTCAAGTACCTAAGACAAAAGAAAGACGAGGAAAAATAATGGGACCGGAGATGCACGTACGATTGGAGATGCTCAGCATCGTGGAGGGTCTGGGGAAGGGGTCTTCCCTGAGTTTCAGGGAGAGAAAGACCAAGGATCCCCGACAGGATGCTACATCCGCCAAACACCACCATTGGGAGGGGTTCCCACTGCCTGCTCTGTTTCCAGCATTTGAAAACGATCGACAATTAGCCAATGCAATAATGTATAGCTGCTTGAACAAATAGCTGCTTTAACTGAAAGAAAAAAAAAGAATATAAAAAAAGAAAGAAACCATGAAAAGAAAGAGACCATTTGGATGAGGAAGGGTGCAATGATGGCACCGATCCGGGAGGCCATGGCACAAAGACCCAAGGTAGCACTCCGAATAGGGGTCGGCATCAGCTCTGCCGTGTACAAGTAAACGATTCCGAATGCTGACGTCACCCCCAATTTCCCCACTAGGTTTAGTGCCAAGTGCACTCCCCTCACATCTGTATCCAAATACAACAGAACGAATGAAATTAATCAGACTATGTTCTCTGGGCGTTTCAAAACTCTCCGGCTGCAGTCAGAAAACTGCATTTCATCATCTCAAAATCGACAACATTGCAACATTTAGCAGAGTATGTAATGGCAAAGGACTCGATGAGGATATGTAATAAAATTCAAAATTTACAAGAAAGTGTTCCCTGACACAGTGTTGCAAGAAATTTTCGCGCCCTCTTGAATTTCACGAATTTCGCAAGGCACAAAGAATCGCGAAATTGAATCGCACGTAAATAGTTTTTCTTTTCCCATATGGGTAAATGGCCTATATATAAAGTTGACGGTCCAGATAGCGCAATTCTATTATTTCAAGATTTCGCGAAATTAAATCGGCGCGAAAAATTCTAGCTAAACTGTATTTTATGACAGAAAGACAATTGGCTTAGATTCATTCCTGTGGCTATCTCAAGTAAGGTTACAAGTCGGATCTCACACAGCAAGAGTGACTGGAAATGCCGCATGCATAAACGCAGAGAATAAGGATTCATTTTTTTGCCTGATTCGTTCTATGCCAACATAAATTTGAGAACTCCTGTTCACTGGAAATATAAATTTAGGGATACAAAATATATCAATTATGAAGAAACTCCACGAGTTGCATTTTTGCTCCTCTGAGAAAAACAGCACCTGTTCAACACTTCCTAATGTTTGAATATGCATATTCTTATGATTGTAGCATACTATACGTGGATTAGGATGTACAGAGCATAAATAAGCTTAATTTGCATCTTTTTCATAAATTCATCTTGAATTTTTACTTTTCCACTGTAGCCATATTTGGATGTCCAAGTGAACTGTAAACTGATTAAAGGAATCTGACAGGAATTTAAAACTGTTTCCAAGGAAAACAATAGAAAAATATCAAACATCCTATGGATATCCTCCGCCACAACCACCCCCTTCGATTACTTTGAATATCTCATGTGTGAGGATTACACAGTAGTACAAGAAAACTTGGTAAAACATCTTTCAAAGATATTTTGCTTTGAATGTTCTTACATATTATCATGCATATTTCAAGTACTGTCTAGACATTAACTCTTTCTTGCCCAAATAATATTTAGACAGAACAAAAACAATTCTCATCAGCTTAGTGGATTCAACAGGGTATATGAAGGGCTGAAAGGCACGGTGGGTCTATCTGCAAAAAATTATTTCTCAAGCTCCATGGGAAGAGTCCAGTGACAGTCTTGTTAAAAATGAGAAAGAGTGGTATGTATCCATAGGTCATTTTGTTTTTTACATTATAAAAAAACTACAATTTTCCATTAAAGGAACAAGGTTCTATGAGCACAAAACCAACTATATTTTTGGGGAATTTTTTGCAGATAGACCACTTTACCTTTCAGCCCTTCACATGAAACATACATTCTTTAAAAAAGAATGTTATTTTTCAAGCAACTTAAAAAAAAGAAATTACTTTTCAGATTTCCTTTTTGCACTTTAGGAAATAGTTTTTGGCAAAGTTTGAAGAAATCTGGGCAACTTCATCCTTATATTTAAAAAAAAGTCCCATTACTAAAGAGCTCAGACTCAACAGGACTCCCCTCAGAGCAAAATGATTTAGCATTTAGTAAATGTCCATAAAAATATTGATAAAAGTTCTCATATGCAACAAAGCTCACTACAACAAACAAATTGTAATTATGTAATTACAAACAAGGTTTCTGGAATGATGCTTCCTCCTTCCCCCACTTCCAGCAATACCTTTTATTTGCATAGCAAGTTTTCTCAGTTTACCCCAAACAGGCAATGGAAACTCAACTTGATAAGAGTACAGGAAACCATGAGGAAATCAGACAGAGGAGTATTCTGCAGGAGAATATAGGTCTTTGTAGATCAGATGCAATAGGAACAGAAGGGAAATCAGGATGATTAAATGTATGTCTAGAGAAGTTTGGGTTGAATGAGCTGACCTTTCGAGATGAACCCAATCGGTAAGACAGCACCACCACCAACAAGGAAGCTTATGCACAAGGACCACTTTCGACCAACTTTTGTCATTCCTGTACAAAAATGAAATTTTATTTATTGCTTAGCATATTCTGAAATTTGTTGACAAAACTTCTTCCAACTTCTTTACAAGAAGTGCATGCTGTCTCCTGCATATACTGGGTGCATCATAAGTATGGTAACCTAGTAAATTAAAATTTTATCAAAACCTGTAAGAGATATACTCAAAATTTTGAACAGTTCTTTATTGGTCATGAGGTTAAGTTAGGATGAAAAATCGCTAAAAATGGCCACCATTGGCCTGAACTACAAGTTCAAGACGGCCTTTGAAGGCCTCGGCCATAGCACGCATGTAGGAAATGGGTATTTTGGCCAATTCCTTTGTCAGGGTTGACTTGAGGGAGTCCAAATTCAGGTAGTTGACAGTACAGGCCTTGGTATCCAAGTAGTTCCAGATGCTGAAGTCCATGGGATTCAGGTCCGGGGATGAGGGGGGCCACTCCTCTTTGCTCAAAAAGGCGAGAACGTGCTTTTCAGCCATTCCTGTGTGGCCTTTGCAGTGTGGGCGGGGGCCCCATCCAGCATGAAGGTCCAAGCTGTTTTGCTGAACTTCTTCTTGGCCCAGGGGACCACCACGTCATCCAGAACAGATTTGATGTAGAACTCCTTGTTCACCTTGACTCCAGGGGGCATGAAGGTGAGGGGAGGCTTGCTGGTGGCTGTGATCCCAGCCCAGACCATGACAGAGGCTGGATGTTGGCACCGGAAGGCTGTCTTCAGTTTCGTGGGGACCTTGGAGATGTCCTTAGCAAGGACCTTGTCATTGTGGGGGTAGTGGATGCTCTGGACCATGAAGTTCTTCTCGTCCGTGAAGACCAAGTTCTTGAGCATGCCTTTTTTGACCTTGGTCAACTCTGATAAGACTTGCTGCTTCTGCAGGGAGTAGGGCTTCATCTTGAGGTCGTTCCTGACCACTCTCTTCATTGTGGCCTCGCTCATGTTGCCCTCCTTGGCCATTTGGCGCATGCTTCTCCGGGGGTTCAGGCGAATCTTGGCTTTGACAACCTTGATGACTGCTGGAGTGCACTGGGACCTCGGACAACTGCTCCTAGGATAGCTGGCTACAGTACCAGTCTCCTTGAATTGCCTCACCTCTCTCCAGATGAATACCTTGTTGATGTTGCAGTTCTTGAGGGCCTTGAGAATCTCCCAGTTACTCTTTCTGGCCTTGTGGAGCTCCAGGATGGTGTCTCGTTTTGCATCCATTGTGCAAACTTTATTAACTTGAAACTTTCAATAGAATATTTTTAACATGTCAACAGCATTAAGAAATGAAAAATAATGGGAACTTTTTTTTTTTAATACCCAACCTTTCATCACACCATTACTGAGGTTACTGAACTTAAGATGCACCCAGTATACCTGTGCTTCTGTCTACACTTCCAAAAATATTTATTACAAAAACTGACATAAATGATCATTTTGATGAGCTTGATATGGGCATGGATATAGGGAATGAAGATCCACTCTCTCTTCATTCCTTCATCCCCAATACTTCCAACAAATTACCAACATATGATGAAAGGAAGTGACAAAGTGACATGAGACTCACCCAACCATGCTAGAGAGTAGGCAGGGATTTCAATGGCTGAGATGAGGGCAAAATTGAGGAACAGGTCCCCACCTAGAAGGGCTGCATTCATTGACAGACCATAGTAGTCTAGGCTGCATACAAACCTTGGCATAAAAGAAAAAATAAATGGGAAAATAATAATCTTGAAAACAAGTATTTAGGAAAATTTTAGGAAGATTTTGGCTGAACATCTGACTTAGCCATATGCACTATAACATCATCAGAGTTATGCTTTGGAATGAATTACATACCACCTTAACTAGTCCAGAGAAAAGTGATCAACTTACGGGGTGTATGAAAACCAACTAGCTATTAAATAAATAAAAAAATCCAAATCCAAATTCTAAGGCTTTCTGCATTGCTTTTGTGGGTCCAAGGAGAAGACACTGAGAGAACTGCTCAGTTTCTTAGTGCTTAATACCTCATTTGTGGAAAGTTTCACCAAATGTGAACAGCCCATACTCAAGGGTGACATCCCACAATTCTTAATGATGCTTGAAAAGTTTCAATGAATTGAAAAATTAAATACTTACTAAATAGCTTCCTGAAACACACTTCAGGAAAAATTTTCATGAATCCTCAAATGACCAAGTGGAACTCAGTAATCAAGACATATGGAATCCCATCATTGGGTATGGGACTTTTACTAGTGAAAGTTTATGGTAATGGGTTATTTGGTGTAACTTAAATGACTCCTCATGCTACAATAGCTGAACGTGCAGTTTCAGTGTTGCTTGTCCTAGAAAAGGGATTCTCAAAATTTTTAGTTTCAGGACCCCTTTTCATGCAACCACCTATTTTTTATGTCTAAAAATGTTTACAGGCATTGAGTACATGATCTATATGGTAAAAGAGCCTGTAACTTACTAGCTGTTTCCAGGAAACCCTATAGCTCCTAGGATATTATTTGTTCTTTCTGCTGTAAGAATGCCAACAAAAAGAAGGAGTTCTTTATCCCTGAAAAGAAAAACTCAGGAAAATTACAAAGGAGAAAAAGAAATTTGGCTGTATCCTTTTTTAGTGCAGAAAACTTGATGAGATCCAGGTCTTCACACAAAAGCAAAAGTGGACAATGTAACCCTTAGTCTACTTTAATCAAGAAAAGCAAGGAAAAAACCAGTGATGCAGCAAGGATAATTATTGATTGTCAGGTGAGACAGAAAGCACAGAAACCTTCAGGATTCCCTAATGATTCTGCTTGAGTCATGATATTGAGAATTCTTTTTGTCCGTGGGTCTGGCCAATACAAAATGTTCACAATTTCATCTGCAAGAACATGCATCAAAATGATTATGTGTTCATTGGAAAATGTAGGAAAAGGCACATTTATGAGCCTATTAGATCTCTAAACCAGCAAAATTTTAAGGTAGCATCGAGAATTTGTAGTTCTACTTTCACCTGATTTTCAAGTAGCCCCTTTGTGACCTGCTGACTGGGCTATTGGAGTTACTTCTGATTAACCTTTATCGTACAGCATTTAAATGCCTGTGTTGCTTCACAGCCAGTATTTAACTGCAGGTATTTAAAGTGAAGTGCAAACACACGCAAGCTTCTGGGGAAAAATGAAATCCTCATAAACTATTGATGGTAAAACGATGAAATAAAAACCATATTTACATAGACAATTCCATTAAGTGGTCTGGCAATACGTTTAGCAATAAGTATACTTACCTATCAGCCTGTAAAGGTTAATAGCATTAAAAAAAACTATCTAAAAAATTTTCCATATCTGGTTCGTTGAAAGCAGTGAAAGAAAAGAGATTTGCTGCATCTTCATGATTATCCTGTGATCCCCTATCTTCAAGACTCCAAGCTGTCCCAGTCACTGACCAGCAGTTGAAGTGCCAACTTCCTTCTCAAGTACCAACATAGAGTGCAGTGTATCTATGATGCATTGGATTGGCTCCTCATGCATAAATATAGGTATAAATACGAGGGGTGATCAAAAATTTCCAGGACTGAATTTTTTATGAAGCTGTGGTGACTCTTTCTGACTACTGATGGATATATCCTTCAAAGTAGTCCTCTTCGGCATCTACACAAATTTTCCGGCGTTTCTTCAGCTGACAGAATAATTGCTGATACACGTCTTTTGGAATCACCAGCAGCACTTGTGGTGCATTCGCAACACTGCTTTAAATGTCCTGAAATTTCCTTTGTTTTCAAATTTGGGCAATCTCTGACCTATCTCAAAATCCCTGTGCTTTGTAAACCACCCAACTCACCAGACCTAGCTCATAGGATTTTCTTCATTTTTTTCCCTAAGCTAAAGAGTGTGCCAAAAGGAAGATTTCAGGCATTCAAAGCAAAATTGTAAACGTGATGTGAGCACTGCTGGTGATTCCAAATGTTCAGTGTCAGCAAAGTTTCCAGCAGCTGAAGAAACGTCAGAAAATTTGTGTAGATGCCGAAGAGGGCTAGTTTGAAGGATATAACTATCAGTAATTGGAAAGAGACACCATAGTGTCATAAAAAATCCAGTCCTGGAAATTTTTTTATCACCCCTTGTATATGCAGGTGAGGAGTTCTGAATTAAATACCCACTCAAGAAAAATTTTCTCAGCTGAGAGTAGACTATTCTTGGCAGTCAACAATATAAAGTCTTAGTGAAAGGAATTTCTACCACTTTATGTGGATAAAGACAGAACAGGAATGAAACCATTAGAAATTAAGGGTAAGAATTTTTCAATTTTGCTATATGCAAGCAATGGTTCAAGGTACAGGTAGGGATGTCAAGAAGCAATTTCTGCTCATTAGGAAATCTCGTGTCAAGGTCAAGTATACCATTATCATCCATATCCATCTAATGCCTAGTGCCTTACATCTATATTCCTCCCCTTGTTTTGTGCATGAAGGCATCAAACTTCCTCTTAGAGTTAAGTCACAGAAGGGGCAGCCACTAAAACATCATTTAACACATTTCACACATTCACTACCATACAAGTAGAGAAGTTCTGTTGCAAATCACCTAGAATTTATGCAGCTTAAGTTGGTTCCCTTTTGTTCTGTTGCTGCCATCGAACCTTCCACACACTATATTATTGATTGCCTTAACACGTTGACGACCAGCCTATTTTTGCTTGTCCGCCACGTGGGACCACGCGCATTTTTTTTTGTCAAAAAATGCGTCCTGCCATCAGGACGCATGGTTCCGCGTGGGACCACGCGTATTTTTTTTTGTCAAAAAATGCATCCTGCCATCAGGACGCATGGTCCCAGAAAACATTTTTTTGCCAAGTTTTTTTAAAATGTTGAATTTTTTGGAATTTTTATTAGTAATTACGAAATCATAATCTTCTGGAACGTTCTCAACAGTTCATTGAAAATGTGGAAGTTTCTCGAAGGTGATAGAAAATTGAAGAATCTTCGAGATCCCTCCGGGCCCAGCCCAGGGCCTTGTTACTATAAAAAGGAGACGAGGAAGAAAAAGGAGACTTATTGAAAAACAGGGATCTCAAGACAAACGATCGGCGACGCTGCAAATGTTGCTATCAGATGCTCATAGTCGACCAGGGTCGGACCTATGCCAACAACAATGCCAAAAAAGTCAGAACCCAATGCAGCATCTGTCAAGGCTTTGTATGTCTCGATTGTTTCCAAAATAGTCATAAAATCTGCGTTCCTCTCTAGGTTTTCTAGTTGTATTGTTTAGTTTTGTTGTTCAATAAAATATTCACTAAAATCGGCCTTATAACTACAAAACTAACAAGCTTTACCTTAGAAGATGAGTCTTTCATGTTCACTTGAATAAAATATTCACCATAAGAGATCTGCATGGACCACGGCAATCATAGATACTACAGAGCCTGATGATCAATATGTGATGCGATCTATGAGCTATAGACGCGTGTTCTGCAAAAAACCTTGGACGTAGGACGGTAGTCCTGCGTAACAGGGTGCACCGTTTTTTAGACGTAGGACCGTAGTCCTGGCATTGTCGCCAACGTGTTAATACTTTTCTCATATCTTATTCCGTTGAACTTCAAGGTATTTTGCACCAGAACGACAGGAACAGTGTGCCAACCGCATCCTTATACACTATGTACTTTATACACTATGTACTTTATGCATTTTTTAAAATTTCAATAACTTCAGACTCCAGAGGCAAAAACAGCAAAAAGCCAAACTGATATAGGACTTTTTCCATTGCACAGCGGGTTAGTATAAGAATAATAAGCCAAAAAATTCAGTATTTCAGATTTGCCCCAAGTTTTTCCACAAACATAGGAACCTAGACTCATAGAATCTTAATATTTTGTAGATGGGGTGAACAAAAATACCATTCTGATGTCAAATTGACAACATTGAAATTTTCCTCAATATTGTCAAAAATCTGACCGACTTTCTAAAAATGGTGAACCATGGAAGACTGCGTTAATCTCGATTTGGCTTATATCCGAGGGAGGTAATGTCCTAGCAAAAATGATGCATCATTTGCAGCTGGTGGTCTCAGCCCCTGTAAGTCACAGGGGGGGGAATTCCAGGGAAGACTGAAAAATTTGCACTTTTCTGACTTTACAGGGCTGAATCTTTTTTTGGCATTAGACGGCACTATTCTGCTTACCAGAAGTTGGTATTTGTATTAGGAATAAAAGCGTGAGGAGTTTTATTTTCAGCAAGTTCTAGCAATATGAATGACAAGAGATTTTCATGCGTTTCATAAATGGCTACTTCTAGCATTATGAACAAGGTAGCACATGAGATCTACTAGGCTGCAGGAAAGAGTAAATCTGTGGAATTGTGAGATTGAGTTGGGGTTCAAATCAGTGAAACATCGTATACTTCCTTGGAAGATGCTGTGCAGAGATGTCTTGATTGAAGATTTCTTCCTGTGCTTCCCTATTATTGCCTGACCCCACCACACAGCCCACTGTGCATTGTCAACCAAGCTAGACAGGAAAACTTAACTCGTGTAAGACTCTTGTTGAGTGGTTTAGTTACGGTAATGTAAATAAGACTGAATCGTGTCGTAAGGTAGTTTATAGACTCAGGTTTTCCTCGACCAAAGTGCATTCAGAACATAGGATGGCAACAATGTGAATTTCCTGTCATATCCAAAAAATATTTGAACGTTCCTTCCTACCTCTTCCTTGTATTTCTTATTTATGAAGTTTCCGTTAAAGTTTGTGTGACAATGAGGTTTGTATTTGACTGTAGTTGGTTTCTTGGTAGTCTGAAAGTAGTTATTTTTAAATATTAAAAAGATGTATATCATGAAAATATTAGGAAGAAAGAAAAAAAAGAGAAATGCTTAAAACATACTCTCAATCATCCTTCAAAAATAAAAACACACCACATGGCAACTTCATGGACTTCCCTTTCTGCCTTGAGAAATTTGGCTTAACACATTGGTGAGCGGTTGGTGACCGGCCCGGGGCCGGTCACCAACCGCTCGCGAGCGTACTACGAGATTTCTCGGGGCCCGTCACCAATGTGTTAAGAATGAGGTGGTAAAAGGCAGTCAATTTAACTTGCCATCCATCCAAGATTCTCAGGACTTCATCTATCAGGGAGGGCCTATCGGGGGAGAGAAGAAGGCATTTCAGCGGGCATCTTCCTCAAGGCGCCGTTTCCTGCCAGGACTGTGGCCAGCAGGATCGCTAAGAACCTCAGCCATCCTGGTGATCTCCTTTGGGTTCACAACCACGCTGTGTTGCATTGTTCGTCTTGTAGATTCCGACCAAGGTGCTGGCCAGCTCAAACATCTGTGTCCGCAGGGAAATGATGATGAACTGAGCATTTTTGGTTCGACTCTGTGAGAAAATGAGCCATGATGATTTATGTTTCCCATTCAATGCCACTACTTCACAAGATTCTAATGCAGGAAGGATTTAAGGAAACTCCTTGCTTCAATTCACCCTCATTTGATCTCAATATACAGGGTAGTAAATCTCCTTGGATATTCCCTTCTCTCTTTCTCTCAGCCTACTAGAATTAGGTCACAATCTGTTCACCAGTGAAAGAGCTGCAGGATTTGAATGGAAGAGTCCATAAAAAGAGAACCCAAGCACAAGGGGCTTGCTTGGGCTACCAGCTTGACAAGAACAAAAGCAGAATGATAGAATTATAAAGCATCGAGGATAACAAATTAACTACCTAGGAATAAAAACTTGGTTTTCCCTGTGGTGCCATGTGACATGCTGGTGTGTCACATGATAGTTAATGAGCTAAATAACAACCAAATCATAGGTTTTGGTTGCAATGCATCAGGTACCAATAACAAAGTATCTTTAATGGTACCAAAACAGAAGAAAATGGTGTAAAAATAATGATGGAGCCATCTAAACCCTTTGATCTCTTTCCTAATGAAATTTTTTTACCTTGAAAGTAATGACCAACAAAGAGGAAGTGATGAGATACATACATTTGCCTAGGATGTGAATAGCTCTTCAATTTTTCAAGATGGAATAGGCAGTAATTTCTTTTGATACAGAAATAATGAGGCATCTTCCATTTCCAAGAATAACTTTTTGGTAAGGGGAATGAGTGACTGGAGAAGTGGGGAGTATTAATTACCAACCCCATAGGTTTCCACTACCAGCAGAAAAAAAAACCATTCAGTGTTATGCAGATAGAATCAGCTCAATCAGTCTCCTCCTTATTCTATGCTTATTTAGTTATATAGGATCTACTTTGGTATTTTCTTTACTAGTGCCCGGGACAAACACAACTTTTGCCTTTTGCGTTACCACAAGCCCCCACGAATTGCTTCATGATTCCGTCATCAGTTAGGTTTCTAGCTGTCACTTGTGGTGCTCTGTTTACATTTTCCTTTCCATAAGAAAGGAAAATGTAAACGATTAGTTAAAAAATTAGGTAAAATTCTGGGAATGACCAGAAAATCCCGGCAAAAACTGTTTTGAATTTCGACTCAATATTATTAGACTCGATATTGTTATTAGACAAATTCTAAATTTGGGGCTGTCTGGGAAATGCCGGAAAAATTGTCATCGTAGGTCGCGGTCCGGAACCGGACTGCGGTCCGCAGGTTGGGTAGTCCTGATCTAGAGTAACAGACATTGGGCATGCTTTTTATTCTCAACACAGAATCGCTCCAGAAAAATTGAAACTCCAACTCCCCAGGGTTGCGAAGAACATTGAATCTCGCATTTTGAGGTTGTGAGAGGTCTTGAAAACCCCGAGATTGACCCTTTTATAGGTCTAATTGGCCCGGTGAGTCGATGGTTGAGATTCTCTTAATTGAAAAAAGGTAGGTCTAGGCCAACCCACTGTTATTATAGTGATAATGTGTAACTCCCATTGCTGTTCTTATTGGTGACCTCCATGCTTATACGATTTCGCCATAAATCAACGAACGATATTTGGAAGCGATTTTTGACTGTGTGTAATATGTAATAGGAAAATTAAATTTCCCCCCAATTACTATGTTCCCTCACTTTTAGTGCACCCTGTACAATATATACAGGGTATAGAAAAATAAATATAACGACTTTCAACCTATATAGCTACACTCACAACAAAGCTATTTCCATGAAACTTTTGCTTTCCATATACAGGTAAGAGTATGTCTCCAACTGATACTTAAATTTCACCTAAACTTGTGCTGAAGCAATACTATCAGCAATTATTGAAAATAAGTAAGGGATTGAGAATGGAAAGGAGCCCCTGCTGGTAGTGGAGCTGAGAAAACTCTCATGCTGTCCCTCCTAGTCATCGAGACCACGTCGAGCTCCTCTTCCGTTTAAATTCATTCGTTGGGCTGGTTGTCTCTTGTAGATGGTCTTCATGAGCTTATTCAGGGCCGTTTCTAGGGGCGGGCGAAGCGGGCGATCGCCCGGGGCGCCAGCGGAGTAAAAGGGGAGGGGGGGGGGGGGCGCCAGCGGGGTCTATTCATATAGAAGAGGTGCCCTCATTCTCTTTCCACACACAGGATATGTAGCTTCGGGGTCTAAAGCCGTCCTGTCCTGTCCTGACATTCCGGTCAAGAGGGGGGGGGCGCCATTGGAGCTGCTTGCCCTGAGCTTATTCCTAATGAAATGTCGATGAAACAATGAATATCAATCTAGAGGGTTTTCTCAAAGTTAAAAATCTGCCATTCCCATAGGTGCTATGGGGAAATTGAAGATATTGCGATAGGTCAGTCACTTTTTTTAAATTTTGTCTGTTCGCAGTATCCATAGCAACCGGACAACATGACTTTGCGCATGAGCAGTTTTCCGCCTGGGTCGAGGTGCCCGTCTTCCACTGAAACCCCCACTTCCCCTCCAGCCCTCGCAAATGACGGATCCATAGTAGACGATGGGAGAGAGCGTTTGCTCGCGGCCGCGATGACAGGTTTGCTAGGTCAACGCGTGAAATGTCACATCTGGCATCCAACACTTCATAGTGTTTCCGGATTGACTTTAACCCCCCTACCCCCTTTCCGTGGCGCTGTTGCCTGCAGTGAAGTGAGAGACATCTTGTCTTTATCATCATAACTAATGACGTGCTTTTAAGCTTCACAAGCAGCACAACGGTAAAGGTGTAAGTGGGTCAGGTCGTAAGATCCCGTTTTGAGTATGACACTGCCTGCGTAAACAGAAAGTGAGTATTGTACAATAAGAAAATTAAAAACGCTACTGGAATTCATATCGACTCGGGTCGAAACTGTACCATTTGGCGGTAGAGGTCATGAAAAAATGGAAAAGACAAGTAAATATAGGGACTTCGACACAGTGAGTGTCGTCCCCCCCCCCTCCCTGATACAGTAGATGGGCTACGGACTTCATCATGGGATTGTGAGATTTTCATTGATAAAGATATTTTGTGAAAGAAAAACATGGAAAAGAAAACCTCCAATGATACCGAGCATATTCGCCCCGGAAAGCACTTCTGTAATGAGTGCTAATGTACGTGCTAAAGATATTGAAATCTTTTGGCGCACTTCAGGAGGACCTCCTGAATGTCTGGTCCTCTTATATCCGGCCAGTTCTTGAGTACGCCTGCGCTTCCTGGAACAGCTCCATGCTCAGCCGAGCCGCATTTACCATCGAACAGGTGCAGAAGCGTGCCCTGCGTTTAATCCTTGGGCATAAATATGAAACTTACGAAAAGGCATTGTCGATCCTGGGCATCCCATCCTTGCAGAAAAGACGACTGGATCTTACATCTAAATATGCCCATGCCCTCCCAAAAAAATCCATCGCGATGGCATCCTACCGACAATGCCCACCCATGAACCTAAGAAACATCTCATCTCTCTAGCAAAAGCATAAGTGTCGCACGCACAGATTCTACCAGTCAGCAATTCCCTTCATGACCTGCTTGATAAACCAAAAAACTACCAGAGAAGACTGCCACACTGGCTTAGTACAAACCCCTTAATTTTGTTACCCTTTCTGTCTACCCTTTGACGATGGAATGCAATTTGCTGATGCACTTATTCCAGAACCATGAATAAATCACTATTATTTTATTTATATTAACTTTTTATTATTGAAATCTTCAAACGTAATTTAATTACTTTATATTGAGCGGAAATATATGATTATGCCATATACTTTGCGCATAATACTTTTTCGACTCCGACACTGGTCACTGTCTTACGGCGAGATTGAGGACTCGATTACGCTTCTATTGCTTGAAGCGACATCTATTGCTAGTGTTAGAAGTACTACTTTGCTGAGCGCCAACAGGGTCCATTGAAAAGTATGGAGCACGTGTTAACAGGGGTTAACGGTCATTCCGGAAATACTGTACCGTTCTCCCATCTCCACGCGACCCGGACACGGGGAAACATCGAAAACACGTGTAGTTGTTCAGGTCTTTTCATATAGGCCTATGACATACCAATGGCAGCTATTAGTTATTTCAAGGCTTGATGGTTAGGATGCAGCGAATATGATAATTCAGTGATATTGGGGCCAGTGGAATGGCAGATCTGTACCTGGGCTGGCACTCTAGTTTGAAATTTCTCTTCATTTTTCTCAAAGGAACTGTCCATTTCAAATGTCAGACTTGTCATAGGCATTACATCGTTTATAACTGAATTTTATTGAATGGATTTTTGCAGCCATGTTGACTTCAAATAAAGGAAAACATGCTACATCCTCAGCAAAATTGGTGTGATGTGACTTGAGCAATCATGTGAAACGCAAAGTTTTTGGTATTTTTTGTCATACCCTGCAGACTCAGGCTGAGGTAAAACAAGGGAAATTTTAAAAGAACGTTGCAAAAACTCTAGAAAAAAAGCAAATATGTTTATGAGCATTTTTTCTTTTAAACATGCCCATAAAAATCTGCACCCCCAGGACCCCGTATTGATCTATGGCTGCTCCCCAAGGATCAGGGCCGGCGCTTGTAACCCTGCGTCCCCTGCGGCCGCAGGGGGCGCCCCCGCCCCAAGAGGAAGAAATAAATAAGATAGGAAGAACGAAAGCAAAAGAGAAAAAACGTTGAAACGCTGCTAGTTATTCCGAATGAGATCCAAGCTCTGAATGAGACAGAATATTTCAAGATCTTCCTACTCTGGACAGGCGAGAAGGCCGAGCTGGGCGAAATCCGCCACCAGATGCATGGAAAGTATATTTTGGGTTTAGATTTTAATTTTAATTCCTCCACCCTTTCCGCATGAAATCCTCGCGCTTGCAGGCATTCGAGGAGGTGAGAAAGATGTCCGCGTAGAAGGGTCTATCTCATTTTCATCCTTTTCCTTCGCTCGTCTCCTTTGATCATGTCGTGAAATATCTTGTATATTCATTACCGAGTCATTAATAGGTTTGCCACATTTGAATTAAACAAAATGTGGACGCATAGAAATATGTAAATATATTCGAAGTACGAGGTACTTGTTTATGCGGCTATGCCACAAATACCCAGAGCCAAGACGCCAATTGATACTATGAGAGTGTGGCCTGGTGCTTTGGACTTACGGAAAAGGGCCGTTTTAGCACCTATTAAGTTTTAATATTAAAAAATTTTTATATTCATGACCGAGTCATTGATAGGGTTGCCACATTTGAATTAAACAAAATGTGGACGCATAGAAATATGTAAATATATTCGAAGTACGAGGTACTTGTTTATGCGGCTATGCCACAAATACCCAGAGCCAAGACGCCAGTTGATACTATGAGAGTGTGGCCTGGTGCTTTTGACTTAAGGAAAAAAGCCGTTTTAGCACCTAGTAAGTTTTATTAATTAAAAAAATCTCAATAAGTTTATAATATGGACAAAACAGTGTCCATATTAAGACCAGTTTGCAGTATCTACGAAGCGTCTGAAATATGTACTATCGATACTATTTATGAACGGATGACAATCCTGATCATCGATGGTACCCGTGCAAGTTTAGACACCTTTTGCCAAGGTTAACCTCAATAGATCAATGACCTTGTCGATGAGCTTCGCAGTCTGGCTACGCTTCGACCAGAGCCACTTGATGCTCTCGGAACTCCGCTATTCATTCACAAGAGTAGTCAGGCCCGTGTATCCTTACGTGTCCATTGTTCTTGGAATGCTGCTCACAGCGCCAGTGAGAGTTGCATCTGCAGAAAGAAGCTTATCCAAAATGAAACAATTTATAACCTATCAAGCATGTCACAAAAACGCCCGACAGGACAAGTCATACTCTCTATCGAGAAGGAGATCAGCAGGTCATCGAATCACAAGAAAGTGACCGATGAGCTGGTGGCAAAGGTTCCAAGAATACGAACGCTAAACCTTTGGACAATCTACACAAATTCCTCTCCTTCCTTGCTTAAAAAAAATGTAGTGATTTTCATTCTTTTTCCTAATATAACTTCGATAATCGAAAACGAAGTGAGGGGCAAATCTTCGGAACCCAGAGGTGGCCCAATGTCTTTGCGGCAGGGGGTCCCGCATTTTCCCGCGCCTGGTCTGCCAAGGATGACACTGCCTCTATGGTTACAGTGGGTGGAGTGGTAATAGCACTTTTTAAACGGAAGTCAGAGAATGATCCCATGCATCTCTAGTTGAAATTCCTTGATTATTCATGGATAGGCAAGCCCTCTAGCATAAAATTCTCCAAAAAAAATTTTTTTGTTGAGAAGTTAGGTAGTGGAGTCATCCATAGCGGCTGCTCATGGTGAAGCTGCGTCCAAAACTGTAGAAGATGGAGGAGGACCGTGAACCTTGGCCCCAGGAGCCAAATGGTACAATCACGATGGTCAGGTTGTCCTGAGCATTAAATGACATAGCTTGCTGAACCACTGAATGTGCTGCCTCAAAAGCATCAGAACAGTTCCCAATCACATCACAGATCTCTTGGTTCCTCATCACATCATGGATTCCATCCGTGGAAAGGTAAAGAAAATTGTCTTTCCCATGACGTACCTGAAAGCAAGGTTTACCTTGAAGTGATAAACACAAGGTGCCTGAATATGTAAACAAAAGGATTAAACCTGGATGGTGCGTGTGTAGGGGAGGGCTATGACACCATTGTGCTTCAGTTCTGTATCTCCCAAAGATCTTGTCATGGCAAGACGAGCATTTACCAGTGGGCGACCCAAGCTGTCTGTAGTCACACGGCCACCTGATTCCTCTATTCTCTTCTAGAAAAAAAAAGTCGAAAAAATAACATACACCAACTGAATACTTCCTATGAAAATATATATTACTTAGACTCATGTTGCTTTCACAGTGGTTCACAGCCTGTCCAGTAAGCAACAATCTTGAAAACAAATATATCAATGACAATGACTTAACTTTTTCACTGAATAATTCCAATTGGAAACTATTTTTTCTTTTTGAATGTTCTTATGAAATTAATTCAAATAGCGTCAAGAAGTCTTCATCCTTGCTGCATTTTGTCCAAGGATGCACACATGAAAGCCACTTTGCACCAACCATCTGTTGCAAGAATTTCCATCAATGTTCTTAGCAGAAGCTCTCAACATATTTGTAAATCCATTAGATTTTTCAAACGATCAAAATTAAGTCATTTCAGAGAAATTTTGGGTTCTCTCAAAATGAAACAGCAACAGGGAGAATTAGTAGGATGCCAGACAAAGATTTAAAAAATAAATATATCAGATACACATGTAAAACAAAAAACAAGTAAAAAAACTTTTAAATACATGAGATAGATGAGTATTAAAAAAATTAATCAATTTCAATAAAATAAGACCAAAGGTAGGATACTAACTCAATATTGCCATAATGTTCCCATTTGGGAACGATCTGAATTTTAATCATATTTGTTTTTCTCTCAAGCAGGAATATCATGGAATTACCTATTCTCCACACAATGAATCTCTAGCCATTATTTATAATAATAAAAATTAGTCATGTATTTTCTCAATTGAGAATATGGTGCAGTGAAGGGTTGAATATTTTTCTTTGAGACCAAAATAAAGTAAATATTGATCTCAATTAAGGTCATTAGGTAAGTTAACTTGGACTTCAGAGCTTTCAATTTCCTATTATTGTAAAGTTGGGAAGGAAAGAGTTAACAGTGATAAAATGTGAGATGCTTACAAGACAAAGTTGTCTGTCAGCTTAGCATGAAAGACAAACCTATTTATTGCTTTTAAAAAGAATCAACTCTCCATTGAACGAAAAAAACATTTTTACGGAATTTTTTAAATGTCTAATTAGGTCATACTTCTAGACATTCTGAATAAAATTTACTAAGGTTTGTGTTTCAGTCAGACTTGCAATGGCATGGTTTCACATCTCACTTTTAACAAAAAAGAAGACATTAGATCTGCATCAGGTGCCTCAGCTGAAAAGTGTCGTACTTGTAAAGCCCATAGAATAAGGTAATGCTTGCAGGTGGGACATTTTCTTGGTGGTGTGAAGACATGAAAGAAAGGATTGTACCTTATCAGAAAGATTTTAAGAAAAAAATTAATGACTCAAATTTTCATGGAGATCCATCAATATAGGGTGACACAAAAGTTCTGTACACCTTAAAACCGTTCTTGGTTCTGAGCTACCATGTTTGGCTTGGTTTCTATATATAGCCTAAGGTACGAGGGACTTAATTTCATCAGAACTTTCTGAACCCATCAGTTTCGTCATGTCATTGTCCAATGAAGATCGTTGGTCTGCTGTCATCAGTTTGCATGAAATTGGGAAGTCTCTCTCCGAGATCTTCTGGCTGCTCCAGAATAATGGCTACAACTAGAACTTCATCAAATGTACCATCAAGTGATTCTTTAAGACAAACTCTACCAAGAATTGTCATGGATTGGGTCAACTGAAATTTGTGTCAACCACTGCCAACATCAAAAGAGTTAGATCTCAACTTAGTTGCAATCCATAGCAATTGCTGAGAAAAAGGGCCCAAACAACAAAGATAAATTGCAAATTGCTTCAGTGAATTGTCAAGAACAAGCTGAATATCCAGCCTTTCAAGTTCCATAACGCTCAATTTCTCACAGAACAAGCAAAGAAAACTAGGTTGCAACAATTGCAGTCACTGCTCCATCAGTTCACAGATGTCTGCCATCGCAATACCCTCTTTTCTGACAAGAAATTCTTCATGATCGAGCAATTTTTTAGCTCCCAAAATGAAAGAGTATGGGCAGCAGAGTCGTCAGGCATCTCTCCAGACCTCCATCATGTTACTCGCACTCAGATGCCAGCTGCTATGATGGTATGAGTGGGTATCACTGCAGAACCACTGGTTTTTGTGCCTTTGGTCATGAAGATCAACATGACTGTCTACCATGACTGTGTCCTGGAGGGTACAATAAAGCCCTAGGCCAAACAGCACTTTGGGAACTGCAAAAGAACTTTTCAACAGGCCTCTGTGTCAGCCAACAAGGCAAATATCACTCAGGCCTTCTGCAAAGAACTTTATAACCTCGGCAGAATGGCCTCTGTATAGTCCTGACCTGAACCCATTGGACTTTTCTATGTGGAGCATTTTGGAGACCAAAGCCTGTGCAACTCCACATGCATCAGTCAAGTTCCAGAAGAGTGCCTTTCAATGGGTCAAAATCCCCCAAGAAATGCTGCATGCTGCAGTCAATGTGTTTCCAAAAAGACTTCATGATTGTGTGAAAGCAAAAGGTGGTCATTTGAGTGATTTTGATAGTATTATCTTTTGAAATAGTGGCAGCTTGCAGTAGTGTTGTCCTCATTTGTTAGCTATTTAAAAAAGTTTTAAAATGTTGAAAAAACAAAGGTACAGAACTTTTGTGTCACCCTGTATTTATGGACTTTATGGTCAGAGGCAATAGACTGGTCTGAACCACTCAGGTCAAAACTCACCCTCCAAGCAGGAAGTCTTCATAAAGATGGATATAAGAAAGTAGATAGAACAGAATCCTAGCAGAATCCAAAACATTCTGAGGAAGTTAAAACACTTTTCACACTCACTTGAACATAACACTTGCCATTGCTGCATGAGAGCAGAGAAGCCACCAGTAGCTCACTATTCATGCAATACTCCTGTAGAGGACAACTTTGTTGCTGGCACAGCATTTTCTTAAATGTAAGTCACTTTCCCTTAATATCATAGGGAATCATAGGGAAGATGAATGAAAGTGACCTGGAATTTTAGCTGTCATTGCCTGGAGGGATTAAACAAGAGGGACCAATGTCTGTAATTGCAGAAAGTAAAGGGGTAAAAAGAATTCAAAATCTTTAATTAAGGGCCTTTTCTTCAGAGACTTAAATTGCAAAGCTCTTGTGCAAAATACTAGTCTCCTGGAACAAGTCAATCATGTACTTCCTTCTTGAGTGCCATAAGGACTTCATCAGCAGCACAACAGTGCTACAGTATACAAACCAGCATATCACAGGCTTAAGGTGCTTCTCAAGGACACATGTATCAATTGAAGAGCTGAAAGGCAAAGTGGTCTATCTGCAAAAAATTATTTATTTGAGCTCCACAAGGAAAGAGTGAATATTCCAGTGACTGTCTTTTTAAAAGTGAAAGAAAAGTGGTACATAAGGATAGATCAGTTCATCTTTTACATAAATCCAAAAAACTATAATTTTTTATGAAAGGAACAAGGTTAAATAAGAATTAAACCAACTATACTTTTTTCAGAAATCTTTTGCAGGTGGACAACTTTACCTTTCAGCCCTTCAATTCATGAGAGCACTGCTTTTCTCTCTGACCGTGCAAAGGATGAACATATCATTGGCCCTATGCTTCAAGTACCTGGCAAAGCTTCCTACATTTCTTTTGCAGATACCATACTCTTGCAATCTGCTTATCATTCCCAGCTTTCATATTCAAATAAATGTACCCAAAGCAAGAGAGATTAAGTAGTCCCGATTTAATGCATGCATTCACTATATTTCTGATATTGTCTTTGATATAGCACATCACTTTCAGGTTCACATTCCAAATCTCAAGCAATGGCCTCAGTTTAGCTGCTACTCTGTCCACAGACAGAATGGTTGTCCTCTTCTGGCATTGGAAGGGTCCCTAACACAAGCTTGAGCTCCCAATCCAAAGAAATGAAGTGAGCCATGAGAGCAAGATAAAAGAGTTATTCACCAGAACAGTAAATCTGTTGTAGCATGGCTGGATATCTGGGAGAGTTCTGTGAGGAGGTTCCACTGCCACTCTTTATGTAATTTCTGGATTAGAAATGAGGTGTATGCAGATACGTGTATTATACTGGGTAAACTGCTGTCATGAACTTCTAGGACCCATATTTCTGCTTTAGGTACAAAGGCAGACCTCGCACTGTCCTGAGGCACACCATCATCTCCAGACCATCAACATGCAATGTCTGGAGCCACAATCTGCTGCTGGTCTGATTTCAATTCTCACTTTTCTCCTGGTTAAAAGCTTTGAGCAGTTTCTGCCCTCTGGTCTTGGCTTCCCATCCTCTATGCAGTAATATTATGGAATGGTGGTGATCAAGATTATCACTGACATAATGTATTTCCTAAGAATAAATTTCCCACCTTCAGTGCACATGACCCACTTCCTGTTTTACGTCCACTGCAATGGTCTAGCCATTCATTGAGTGATCTCAGACAGCTCTTGACCCTTTGATTTTTTAATCAAAATTTTCTCTAGCTCATGGCCTGACCTTGACTCCATAATTGCATTTGCCATTCAAAGGTAGAAGAGGGGGGATCTAGTGAAGTCTAAGTATAAGGGTCATCTAGAGTCCACTTGAAGTAAAGAAGTAATATACCCCACAGCATACCCCATACAACTGAAGCCTACATGTGAGATTCATTATTGACAAAGCTGGAGACTCAGAGAGAGGCTCACCTTTCATCGTATATTTTGAAGAGTTCAGAAATACTTTTCTGCTTTTTAAAAAGTTAATGGCTAGCTCCTGAAATGTAGGACTGTTCAAAAATTCATATTTTAAAAGCAAGCTGTAGAAATATTGACAAGAAAAAGCAAAATGCAAATGTAAATACAACTATTATTTTCACAGTACAACTTCTAATTTCATTCTCCTTGTTTTGTTACCAATGTGAAGGTAGTACAGGATCACCACCATAAAGGTAAAAACCAATTTTCCACTTGGACATGGCATGAGAAGATAGGAAAAAATCACAGAAAAACATCCATGTGTCATTGGAGGAAGGATCCATTTTCTCATTCATGCTCAAATGCTTTCTCTTTTGTTTTCACATACCTGCATCATTGCATTTCTCCATAGAAATAAACTTCATGATATATGTGTCACTCACTTTCTCACTTGTCAGAGAAGGGACATGGTCCACTGTAAGCTTCTGAGCTTCCCCATTTCGACTCAGAGTTGCATAACTATCACCAACATGCCCAATGACCAATTCAGTCCCCCTTCTTAGAAGGGCAATAGTGGCTGTTGATCCACTGGATGTCTCCTCTTCTTTGACTGCACAGAAAAAGTCATGAAACAAATAGGAAGCTTTGACAATCAAAAACATATGTGTGCATGAGACATGCATTGCTGGACTTCCAGTCATGATTTCTAATGTAAATAATGACTTACCAAATACATTTATAAAAGGTTGGGGATCATCAATGGCAAGCTTTGGCCCTATTTCTTGTCTGCTTCTTATTTAAGATAATTTGGGATAAGTGTGATAAAAAAAACATCACTAACTTTTTAATGAATAGAAAAACTATTCTATGAGAGATTAATAAGGGAAATTGGTGCATATTATCATTAGACTGGTCATTTCAAATCATGGCATTTTCATTCACTCATTTTGAAAAAGTCAGAGTTGGAATTCACTCATTTGCATTTTAGAGGCCATTCCAACAACACTACCTCCATGGGAAGGATAAGTTTGATCACCAGGGAAATGGTATTGGGGCTTTATGATCCAACCAGAGTAGTTGCCATGATTACTAAAACACTTAAATAGAAAGAAACTTATGACAATATGCATTTTGCAGAACTCAGACTTTTGCAAACTATAAATATGCAATACACTTTGAATTAGTGATTATTAACCCTTTGGCTGTTTGCCCAAGTACATACTTGGACTAATGTAGTGGTAGCCTGTGTATGTTCTCGGGCACAGAACATTCACAGTTTCTAGATTATTTCCCAGCTCTCTCAGCACCAGGGCTAGCCTTAGGCACGTGCCACATGTGCCCCTGCACAGGGCACAAATTCACCAAGGGCACCAAAATGTGCCAGAATGAATGAGCAATAATGGATGCCACACTCAGTTTTACTTCAGAAACTGGAAATGTCTTCCGCTTCAGCGTCTTTTGCTAGAATTGACCCTTCTCCCTTGGAAGGAGTGGAGGGGGGGGGGGGGGGTTGGGAGTCTCTTTGCACAGGGTGCTGAAATTGCTAGGGCCAGTTCTGCTCAGCACCCTCATGAGATAGAAAGAAAGACTTGTGCATAATTATTTAAATTGATAAAGCATAAATAAAGACAGCATGGAAGTTCTGTTTGATTGAAGAAAACAAGGTCTCTACTTAGGTGATTTTAGGCTAAGTCTTATAGTGTAATATTTTTTACTCAAGGTTATCACTACAATGAAGGTTAAAGAAGTAAAGTTTTGGCAACTTCCAGAAAGAATAGAAATAGTGTTTCTTGTTAGAATAAAAAAGATTGTATTAGTTTTTTCTGATTAAAATGGTCTTTGCTCCATTAAACAGGGAAATAAATAAAGAAGTTAGCACTGAATGTTTTACTGACACAAGATAAATATGGAGCCTTTAATGAATATTTGAAGGGCCATATCTTTTGAACTGCTCATCAGATCAGGCCTAAAATAGATAAGTTCAATAGAGAAGACAACATGAGGTGGTCTTGGGACAAACTCAACCAAAGGACCAAGTAGAATCATTAGTAGCAATAACATGCTTTTCCTGAACTCCCCTTTCCACTGCCAAGCTTAGTTCCTACTCATTGGATTATGATTAAAAATAAGCAACAGACTATAAGTTATGTTTTGATGTTCTTATCATAAATAAAAATTAGTAAACATTGGAATATAAGTTATCAATATCAATTCTTGCATCAGAAAATCTGCAAAAAGTGTTGTTTCATGTACTGCACATTCTCCATCAGATATACCTTTTCCCATAAAACTGTATGTAGTCACTGAATGCTACACCTTGCAAGTTCAATATTTGGGCTATTTTTAATAAAAAGCACAAAAATATTTGTTACACTGACCACCTGAAGCCAAGTATAAACAAAATCCTCATGCTGATGATTCTGAAGCTTAAAGATAATTTCGCCAACTTTGAAAAGATTGCTTATCTTATAGTTGATCCAAAAACAATTGAGGCTGTGTTAGCGTACAAACATCACTACATCTATGGTATAAATACACTTTTGTCATCTCTACTAAGTTTTTGGATGAACTATACACATTGCCAAAAAAAAAAGCATGACCAAGAAGGAGTTGAGTGATCTTGATGGAATGGAATTGGTACACAAGCTCATACTAGCATACTATGAAATCCATTTTAGAGTTTCGATTGCGTTGGGTTGAATATTAATGGAGAAAACTTGCCAATTAATCCAATTTCAATAACGGATATGGGGTCATACTAACCACCTGAAACAGTTACCTAGAAGGCTTTTACTGATGAAACGTGAAATACTCCTAGAGATGTGCAGAAAAATCTAGTAAAGTTTTGGGATTGTGAGATGAGGGAATGTTGAGAAAACTTGCTAAATGCTGGATGAATTGGGGAAGAGGGTGGCACCAGTTTCCTTTCTCTCCACCTCAAGCCACTTCACCGTTGTTGAGGGCCTAACTGCAAGGCAGTGCCAAGATGATATCTCTGGAAGCAATTCCAAAAAGTTGTTAAGGTGTTTGATCCATGGTGGGTCATCAGGATGCTTTAACATAGAGCAAGTTGATGCATACATCAGTCTAATGCATGAAGCTGATACATCACATCCCAATTCCTCAGGCATTTAGCAAGTTCACACTGCATAGCCTCATCTCATGACCTTGAAACTTTGCTTGATTTTTCTGCACACCTCTAGGAGTTCCTCTTTCACGTTTCATCAGTAAAAGCCTTCTAGGTAATTGTTTTGGGCGATTGGTATGACCCCATAGCAATTATTGAAATTAAATTAATTGGCAAGTTTTCTCCATTATTATTCCCACATATTTGAAACTCTAATTGATTTCATAATATGCTGGTACCAGCTTGTGGACCAAATTTCTCTAAGATTGCTCACCTCCTTGGTTGTGCTCTTTTCTGGCTGAGTATATAATTTCCATCAAACTCAGAAGCCTAAAACAGGGCTTAATGGTTCCCATCTTTCAGAAAGGATTGATTCTTTTCAGCTTGCACTTATGGAATGGTGAGAAAATGAGCCATTCAGACTTAGAAAAACTTAGAAAAAAGTTTTACCAATGAATGGATCTCATCAGTCTTTCTAACAATTCAGCCATATAACCTCAAACTCTTAGCCCCACAAGATTATACCGGTTGTCCCAGAATTTGGAGTACATGGGGCAATTACATTGTGAAATAATGAATGTTTTTGGAATCAAAATATTCCTACATTTTATTTGACCCCACAAGACTCAGAAACACTATATTTTTTTGTTGTTTGTCATTCAGATCAGGTGTTCAAAGTGGGCACCAATGACTGTAAAGAAGTAACCCAGAAGGTCCTGGAAACTTCTGCAAACATCTCCATTGGATACAAATGCCTAATTTCAATTTTTTGTGTTTGGAGGCCAAGTGTCAGCAGGAATTTACAGAACCCCTTGTCTTTCACATAGCTGTCTGCAAAGCGAAAAAGCCCATCCAGGTCAGATCAGTTGAAGATACATTCCATTCGAAGTCTATTCCTCCCAATCCAACAACCAAGGAACACTAAGGCGTTGTACTTCCCATGTGAAATGAAGAGGTGAGTTGTCTTACTGAAAATAAATGTAATCACTTTTGGCTACTTCATCCAATGGTGTTCTGATGTCCTGAGCCATCTACAAGTTATTGGAGCTGTTCAGGTTTCCATCAATAGAGAACAAATAACATGATCACAGAGTACTCCTGCTCTAATGTTCAGCTTCTCTGATTGTTGAGTATAGGTTTTGGACATTCAAAGTGGATTTTGGTCACTCCAGAAAGGGTGGTTGACCTACCCATCAAGCATGCATATGCACTCTTCCAAAAAGCAACTCTGCATCAGAACTATCAGATGATTGTTCACCATCTCCATCATCACTGCACAAAATTCATTGATGCAGTAGATGTAGGCCAGACTGATCCCCAAGTCATGTGTCACTATACAAACAGATGTCACTGGTGCTGGCAGATCTGATAACTGCAGCTGTTTTCTCAAGTCCTAATGCTATTGTGAGGCATCCAGTACATGGCTTTTCCAGAACACTGTCAATTACCTTGAACCATTTCATTAATATTGTGATAGTCAGGGAAGGTGTTGGGCAATCTGCTTTTTGTAAAATAGAGCCAATGCTGTTTACCATACTGAGTTCTTTCTGAATGTTCAGTGACCACATACACCATGATAAATTGTGTGATGAACTCCTGACCACTAATTATTCTGTAAATCAATTGACATTATTACCATCATCAACCCATTCTAAGAATAATAAAGGTAAATATCCATTAACCTCCAAATTTACGGGTTGCATGTATGTACTCCAAATTCTGGGACACCCTGCATGGTAAGTGCTTAATATGTCAGGAATAATAGCATACACCTGGTTGAGAAGACAACAGACTTTGAGAAGCCATTGTTGATTCCAAGGAAGGACTCAACCAGAACATTCTCCAAATCTTGATCTCGATCCAACCAAAATTTGACATGATTGGAAAAGTGTGCTGCACAAAATACAGCACAATCCTGTCCCCCATGCCCATCAAAGACAGCACACAGGAGAACTTCAGGAGTCAATTGTTCAATCACAAAGCGGTCCTCTAATGAAGGACGTTTCCCCTGATCACTGCAGTGTCCAATTGCAGAGATCTCGATTTTTGGCACTGGAGCTCCATGCTTGAGACTTGCCTCATATTCCAGTGACATGTGACCTCCCCAAGTTCCCATTCCATCCAAGATATCTCTCTTCCTTGTATTCAAAGGAGCCAAGGTATGGGAATGAGACATTAATTCAGCTCTGAATCTTTTGAACTTTCCCTGTGGCTTAGGGAGACTCAGGGTGGGGACACCTCCACTCCATAGTGTCACTGACTTTCTAGGCAATCCAAGAAGCACTCGGGAACTGGAACCAATGCTCATCCCTTCATGGTAAAGACAGAAAATAGAACAGTTCAACTGTTGATTCATGATTCTATTCCCCTCATTTAAATGAGAAAGATAAAAGTAACTATTTCCATTAAATGTATAATAAGGTTGGGGGTCTAGCTGCAACTACAGCTCCATCCAACACTAGTCATGGATGAACCCCTTCACAATCTGTGCCTTGCTGTCCACTCTCCCTCTTCACAAAAAATACCAACAGAACTTTTTCAGTCAGAAGGGAAGTATGGATTTTGTTCAATTGGCTCCCAAGAAGTTATTTCCATAACTTACCATTGACAAATTCTCCAGCTGACTTTAGGATAGTGCTTAGAGACTTACTTTCAACTGCAGATATACTGAAAAAAAAAGCTGCACACATTGCATACAAGAAATACTTCAAATGGCATTTCCTATGCATTAAATGCTTCTAGCTTCTTATTCCATAGAATCATCAGGTTGCTTAGTACAAAATTCAGGTCTAAGAGGTATATAAAAGGCATATATGACCAGAATACAACACAAAGATACTCATTCAAATGAATCTCAATGCAGTTTCTGATGGAAGCACCTTGTATGCACAGTTTCCACTACTCTGTTTGGTGCCCATTTCCATCTGGAATAGGGCATCCCTATCCAAGAGACTCTTGAGTTGCTCATCTGTGAAGACTTTCCCAGAAGAGCATGGATGTGCAACTCCATGAAAATCTGATGATTTCATCAACTCCTCCAATTCACAAAGATTCAACTGCTTCCCTTCACTTCCTTTGTGAATGGAATCAAACTTCTCCTTCTTCATGATGATCTTTTCAAGGCGTCTTTTGGCCGATGCTCTCTCAACCATTTCCTCATCGATCGTGTTGACTGTGACCAGACGATATACCACGACAGGCTTGGACTGACCAATACGATGGCATCGGTCTTGAGCCTGTAAATCTTGCTGTGGGTTCCAATCAGAATCATATATGACAACTGTGTCAGCAGCAGTCAAGTTCAGCCCCAAACCTCCTGCCCTTGTGCTGATCAGGAAGACAAAAGTATTAACATCTGAATTGAATCTTTTGATCATCTCCTGCCTCAAGTCAAGACTCATTCTTCCATCCAGTTGTGCAAATCCAAAGCCTCTCATATCAAGGTAATCAGCCAATATGTCCATCATTCTTGTCATCTGGGAGAATATCAGTACCTTGTGCTTCTGCTTCTTCAGCTGGTGCAGGAGCTCATCAAGAACAAGCAACTTACCACTAGCTGCTATCAATTCAGGACCAAAGTCATGAGGGTTCTGAGGATTCAGTGGGAAACGAACAAGGTAGGGGTGATTAGCGATCTTTCGCAACATCATCATACGATTATTAAGCTTCATATTGACAATGTGCATGGAGTTTTCTTTATTTTCCATGACAGGACTGGTTGACAAATCAGAAGACTTCACCACATTCTTGGGGCTCTTGAGATCAATGTCATCATCATCATATTCTTCGATCCCATCACACTCAGCAAATGAGAATGATTCATTCCGTCCCTTACAATGTCTCTTGCCATTAACAGTCAAGGGGGGTCCAGTGTCACTCTTCTGACTGCAGAACTTCAGCATGGAGCCATCCAGAACAGCAGAATACAATGAGAATTGCTCTTCTGTCAATGGACAATAGATGAGAAGCTCCTTTTTTGCTGGGAGCTCTATTTCAACATCAACCTTCAAACGGCGTAGAATGAATGGACTAAGGATCTGATGAAAACTTGTCAGGATCTTCTTTTCCTTCTCCTGAGAAAGGATCTTGTCTGAGCCACCAGAGATGAGATCATGAATTTGGAACCAAGATTGGAAGACTTGAAGATCATGGAATACATCAGGTAATATGAAGTTGAGCAGGGCCCATAGCTCTTCCAGGTTGTTTTGCAAGGGGGTTCCAGTTAGGATGAGCACACTGTCAAAGTGAAACTGATGCAATTCCCTCACCAGTCGACAGTTAAAGTTTTTTAGCCGATGACCTTCATCAATCATGCAGTAAGCCCAAGAAAATTTCCTAAGGATTTTTGCATCCCTGATTATGATGTCATAAGAAGTAAGCACCACTGGGTGGGAAGAAATGGAAGATGTCAGTTGATGCTGCTTCTTAATCTCAGGGATGAGAGCTTTCCGTGTTGCTGCAGCTCCATGATACAATACCACCTTCAATTTGGGGGTGAACTGCTGAAATTCAGACAACCAATTAGGCAGTGTAGACAGAGGTGCAACAACAAGGAATGGCCCTTTCATGGAATTTTCAATGAGATGTGAAATGAAGGCAATGCACTGCACTGTTTTCCCTAGTCCCATTTCATCAGCAAGAATCCCATTGGTCCCATTCAGAAAGAGGAGGTTCAGCCACTCCACTCCTTCCACTTGATATGGACGAAGTTTCCCACCCTCAAATAAATTACACTGACCAAAAACTTCCATCTTCCCTAGCATCTTTCTCTTTGCTTCATGTTCCTGAATGTTTTGATGAACGGCACTATTCCCTTTGGCCACATCACCCTTCATTTGCTCTATTTTTCCTTTTGGTTCACATGTCTGCTTAACATTCATACCTTGCACATCTAGTTTTTGCTCCAAAAAGCTTGCAAGCTTCTTGGATTTATCCAAAAGATTCATCAAGCACATATATCGCTTCTCTTCCTCAACCTCCAGTTCTTTTGACTTCCCTCGGGAAAACTTCCCCTCAAGTTGAATATGGCTATCAGCTCTGGTTTTATCTTTATTTTGGGCATCTTCATCCGAGTAAGCTTCTCCCAGCATATCTTCAGCTATACTTCTTGTACCTTCACTTTGGACCAGATCAACACAGAGACTTACCTACAAATGAGTAAGAAAAAAACCAAAAAGCCAAAATAGTATTATCTGCACCAAGCCTGTCAGTGGCAAGAGTGACAAACAAATGAACTGAAACAGAGATTAAACTCTAACAGAGGGTTCCTTCTTTCAAGGTTACTGCTCGCCACTTCAACATTGGGTTTCATGCCATAAATTTGGCTGTGTATCAAGACAGTGGCAAGGACCAGAAAAAGGTCCTGGAATTTTCTCAAAACATTTAAAAAACAAGAAACATTCCCAGGCCAACTTGATTTTCTTGGGAAAAGTCTTATGCATATCCTCAAGCTTTGATTTGGGCCTGTGCAACTGACAGCAGTCCATTCAAGCTGTAGGTCAAATTTTGAGGACAACATACTGTGTTACATTAAATAAGGACTTTTCAATGTAGGTGAAAGACTTGGTGCTTCTGACCCTTCTGCCATGGACTCAGAAGAAGTTTTGAAAAAATTTGATATCAAAGGAGAAAGCAAAAGTAATACAGATGACACAGGTATTTACACAATCTGGCCACTTTGCTGGTGACAAAGTTCTTAGGTCAGCTGTATGCAAGGTTGCAAAAGTTCAGCACTGGAGAGCCAGTCACTGTCTTGAAAAATATCTGTCTGAAACCTACAGACATTGATAGGGCCAAGGCAAGCAGGCTTCAAACATTTTATTCTGTCCCCCTCTTCAAGAAATAACCACTTCATAGCACCTCACTCCAACCCCAACGAGCAACCATGGAGGGGTAGCTTGCAAGTATTTTTCCTGCTTTTTTGGGTCATTTAATTGCTCCTTGTTCTCCTTCACTCACACCATTGTTTCCTGCTTTAGATAACAATTTTACTCTTGAGTCTCCAAGATCCTCTTGCCATCTTCTTGCACCCTCATAGATGGGTGCATCACAGTTTGAAAATTGTAGGCTGAGGTCAAGGGCTCATAATATTGGAAATATAAATGGTTTTGCATTTCATCCACATTAAACAATGATTGGTTAGCCTACCCAGGCTCCATGAATTTCAATATCTGGTCATAACTGGACTACTATCAGAGGGCAGGCCTAGAACTGGGCATAATGTGGACCCAGTTTAGCATTTCCACTGGAGTTCTCTAGCTATACCACAGCTGCAAATTCAGACCCATTCCAGCAAAGAAGCTGGAAAATGATAGATCCAGTTTCATTGCCTAATGAACAACTGGAAAGGGCCTGAATTTACAAATGCAGCCCAGCTGGAAATAGTAGCTGTTTCCAGTCTAAATTCTAAACTAGGTAGCCTAGGCATAAGTAATGGATGAGGTACTGCCATAAATATTAAGGCACATCCTATTTCTCTTCTTGAAATTTCCAGTAGGCTACAAACACATGCAGTTCCATCATGACATCAATGGTCATCTCCTACATGGAGGATGATCCACTTGTTCTTGAAAGATCATCAAAAAGTCTTTAAAAGAAAAGCATAATTATGCACCCCACATTGCAATTAATTTGCAACAAAAAAAAATATTTCCTCAACAAACAAACTGAAATATAACTCCTGATACAAAATTGAATCAGGAGTTGTAAACCCATGTTCCTGAGCAACCCTTTATAAGGCAAAACTCTGGGGCATGAAAATAAATTATTTTATGTCAAACCTTCTTAATAAATTACATTCACCATACGAAGTGATAAATTGATTACATCAATATTTTAAATATAAAACATTTGGAGAAATGGACTAAGACAACAAGGTTAACTTGGAATGGAAATTTCAAAGGAAAAAGCCCTGTAATAACAAATTTTAGTATACTTACTGATAACCAATAAAGGATTTTTTTTTTAAATCAGTCATTGCCAATTGTATGCCACCCTCAGAAAAACAATGAAAAGAGAGCTTTATAATAACACCTTCATGATATATTGAAACAAAACTGAAATGAAAAAATTGTCGCTTGCAAAATTCGGAACTGCATCTTGAACTGCTTTTGCTTGATTTAGCTGCTCAATCTACAGAGCATCTCTGCTGCATGCTGAAGAGCTGAGGTGCTGGCAAGTTATGTAAAAATAACAATCAACATTTGTTTTCATTAAAGCATAGAACAGGGGTGTTCAACCTGTAGACCATGGTCTTGATCTTAATCATGAGCTTCCACCCTCCAGAGCACCACCCCTCCCCACTCCTTGTTTATTTATATATTTTTTTTTTACAAATTTTTCCTGTCTCTCTGTCAGTACCCAAATGGCAGCAATAGCCTGGTAACAGGGAAGCATTCAGGAGGGGTTTGAAGAGCTCTAACTTTTCTCTAACTCTTTTGATCAACAAACTTTGCAGCTAATTCCCAAGATTACAATATTCTGGATGCAACTTCATCAGATAATGATTGTCAGGCTCTTGCCTTAGAATTTTACTTCTGGACCACCAAACCCCAAGGACATCAGGTTGGTGGGCCATCTCAGATCCAAGTTAGGAATCCCTGCCATAGAACATTGAGAAAAGGTAGAAAAAAGAATTGTTATAATTTATTTAAGAGTGGCATAAGAGCTGTGAAAGATATTACTAGTGGACTTTTTGTCATATATTTAACTTGTCATTCCAGCAAAGAATATTTCCTTAGAATCTGATGATGATTCATTATCCCTGACCTGCAACGATTACATGTGCTACCACCCATCTTCTTGCACATTGGCATATCACAGCTAATTTGACTTCTTCAGTCAGTTTTCACACACCTTTCATGACAGGGTCATCAATAGACATTTATTACACAGCAGGCATCACCCAGATCACCTGGATCAAAGCTCAGCATACTCTTGATAATTAGGGGATCTGAAGTCATTGGTGTCTCTCAACAATTTGGTGTCATTACCAGAACCAAAGGACACCATTTGCAAAGATATGCCATTCATTCCAAATGACATGTTGAGAGCCACAGTACACCACTTTGGACATGGAGCAGTTGTGGAGCTTGGCAAGAGCCAAATTCAGCACTTCTTACCACAAATACAAGATGCCATGACAGTAGTGCCACCTATAAGGCAACTCTTTTTTGCATAATGTTCTCCCCATGACATACATACTGTATATTACTTTCAAAGTTTAACTAATCCATGATACATCTTTTTTTCAATTAAAGAATACCATGCAGCTGCAAAGTTACTATTATCATAACCTTGTACTTCAACCATGTGTACTCATGTACATAGCTTCACATAACTACCAAAATGTGATTAAGGATGAAGAAATGCTTTTGAGTCATACCTCTATGGACACCCAGTAGAATGCAGTTTTCACTGGTGCATGCATTAGGCATTCTCAGAGTTCTCTGATGCATTTGCATGAGTTCACATCAATGCCAGTTTAAAGAAAGAGGAAAAAATTTAATGCTGCCTCATTGTTAAGATGGACTTCTAATTGCATTGTCACTTGGCCATTTTGTGTCCCAGGTTGAAATGAATCACATCTGGCCAATAGAAATGCTTATTTCTTGGGCATGCTGGCTTGTCTCACATGAATTGTGCCAAATTATGGCAAAAGGCCACAGCCTTATGGGCTCCACTGACTGTGCCAGAGTGATGATGGGCCTCAGTAGAATGATGAAGACTAGTCTAGAAAGACATAAGAAAACCCAACTTGTACAATGAGACTTGGGTCAGTCCAAGAAGACCAACCTGAGTACAGTGTGCATGCCAAGGAAGGTTGTGGCACACCACATCCTGCAGAGGGCCCTGAGCAGGGCATGTTAAATGGACATTAAAAGTTCCAAGTCTCACGATATGTGATGACTTTCTAATGTTTGGTAGGGGAATCACTGTCCACCTGCCATCAAGATGAATATATTACTAATATATTCCCATATGAATATATGAATGGCATTAACATTTATTTCCAAGGGCATGACCATAGATTCTCACGTTTAGCTTCTAAAAAGAGCATGGTAGATTCTTCAAAATCATTGGTAACAGCAGAATAAGGGAAAACCTGTTCAAGTAGTATAAACCTGAATAAGACTCAGGTAGCAGAATGACAACATTTGCAGGATAGTCACAGCACAGAAAGCATTAAGTGATGACATAATGGTAACCACTACCATGACTAGTTTTAATAAAAGGTTAGAAGCCTTTGTGGAAAAAAAAAGAAAGAAAAAGTAGCACTGCAGCTGAAAGTGATGAAGCAGTAGGTGGATATGCTTCCACATAATCATTGAGACAGGCAACACTAAAAGTGAAAGTTTGAATTTGAAGAGGTTTGACTGTCAAGCCACTTCAAATTCCAACTTTCCCAATCCTGTCATTTTGCAAATAGTCCAGCCGTAGGATATGTGTGGTTCTTAAATGTTCTGAAGATACTACATCATATTGCATCTTGTCCAGAGCAAAGTACCAATCTATTCCAGTTTCAGACTGGAATATCATGATTATGATTATGATTGGATCATGATTATGTGAGTAATGTCCTCTACTCTCTTCAGGGACTCCACCAATCCTTCAATTACGATTAAATTCCCGAGGATAGGACTGTAGCGGCTTGTAACGAACGAGGGGCCAGTGTTACTGCAACCCATCAATGTCGCCTTGTGGAAGTCATCTAAACTGATGTTCTGATCTCCACTCCAGAAATGATTGCAGAAGCACACAATAGTTGTAAACTATCTCTGCTGGACAATACAAATCTGAAAATGACATGGAGGAAAGAAAGGCACCACCCGAATGGGTCAGTCCAGGCCTAACCTGGCCCATATGAATATCTCGAATTGACTCTAGCCCAAACCAACCCTGCACTTAAGAGAAGCCAATCTTCCATTCCGAGTGCCCATGGACTCTACGGTATGTGTGTGCCTGAGTCTACCGCCTTGTACTGTCCCCTAGGTTAGAGCTCAATGTACACACGCATCCCGGGCAGAATCACCTTCACCTTATAAGATGGTCATAGCCTATTGGCCGCGCGAGAGTGTAACAGTGATGCCAC